TATTGCAATAACAGGCGCCAAACGGTAACACAGACTTGGAGCTCACGGTCAAAATGCATGCCTTTTAGTAATAAAACCATGGTGTGGTCATTAAATGTTTGTATGTGTTGTTTTAGCCGGTAGCAAGTGAAAGAGATTCTCCTCTTGTCAACCTCTGTTTTGGACTGTGCATTCTGGGCCGGCGAGCACTGGGCACAGCCTCCCACAGCATGTCTGCCAGGTACTAAGACCTGCAAGCTCCAAAGTCTATTGCTCATTGTCATTATTCTGTGTGTCTAATATTGTGTTTTGTTAACAGCTTGGAACCATTTCTTTATGGTCTTCACGCACTTTTTAAAGGTGACTTTCGCATCACATCACCCAGAGACGAGTGGGTCTTTGCTGACATGGACTTGTTAAATCGTGTAGTGGCCCCAGGAGTGCGGATGTCTCTAAAATTGCATCAGGTACTGCTTAAAAAAATTTTTTTCTGGTGATAACAGTCCCATTATGAATTAAATGTTTTCTTTAGGATCATTTTACCTCTCCTGATGAGTATGAGGACCCTATGATTTTGTATGATGCCATTACTGCCAATGAGGAGAAGATGCTGATATCACATGAGGGTGACCCTGTGTGGCGAAGCGCGATTTTGGCCAACATGCCCTCACTGCTGGCACTGAGGCACATCATGGACGACGGCAGTGACGAGTACAAGATCATCATGTTGAACAAGAGGTTCCTCAGCTTCAGAGTCATCAAGGTTCTTTTCTTAACTTGTTCAGTCCAGTTAGCATTACTTTTCATCTAAATTTCTCTTTTTTAATTTTCAGTGAAGCAAACCATATTTTTAACTTTTCTAGAATATATACAGTACATTATAGTCTGTTGACTCTTGGATACAATTGTCTTGCATCTCAGTTTTACCCCATTGGTTCTGCCCCTCCAGGTGAATAGAGAATGTGTGCGTGGGCTATGGGCCGGGCAACAGCAGGAGCTGGTTTTCCTGCGAAATCGAAATCCTGAGCGAGGCAGCATCCAAAACGCCAAACAAGCCTTGAGGAACATGATCAATTCATCGTGTGACCAGCCCATTGGATATCCTATCTACGTCTCACCACTCACCACATCATATGCTGGAGGCCACGTTCAGCTACGCACTGTATGGGGGGGTCCTGTTAGCCCACACAACATCTACACATGGCTCATCAGCAGCTGGGACAGGTACTGAACAGTTTTTTTTGTTTGTTTGTTTGTTTATCAAAGTTTTATGAATGCTATTAATCCACATATAGCACACATGGTATTGATGTAGTAATTTTTATAATGTTGAAAGAGACATAACAAAAGCAAATGTAATTTGCTCAACTGGACATGGTTAAAATGCTCTTACACCTGTTGCAGGTTGCAGAAAGGCTGTGGAGCTGGCTGCAACAGTGGAGGAAATATTGAGGACTCAGACTGTGGAGGCGGCTCGGCCTCCATCTCCACAAACCCTGCTGTTCACACCACACACAGCACTCCAGCCTCCGGCCTGCCCCACACACACATCACCTCGCTCCAACCATCTTTGGGTGAGTATAAAATCCCTTCTGAATGTAGATGGACATGTTTCTGATAAATAACCAATGCTATTATTGAATTGTTTCAAAAACTCTAGATAAGTCAATAGTGAATATTTATCTTAAGTTGTAAGGTAGATGTAATGTATTTATAAAAATGTCAAGTTACCAACATAAGCTCTCTGAGTAGCCTGAATGATTGTATGGAAGAGACCCCGAAACCCTGAAACATGATTGTGAACTTGAACTGGATTATTGTGTTACAAGTTCATATGAAAATCTTGTTACAGGTACAGACAATCCTGTGGGTCCCCAGAATTGGCCACATAATTCCCAACCGCTGCCGCTAGCTTTGCTTAGCCAGTCAGAGGGCAGGATGGAGGCGGGGCTCCTGTCTTCTCTACAGCGGACCTCCTCAATACAGGGGCTGCTGGGACAGCAGCTGTCCACCTCCCAGCTGTCCTTCAGCACCTCTGTGCCCCCCCCCTCTCTCCCTCTGGGCTTCCTGGAGAACTCTGGACATAGAGCAGGCCAGCGGGCTGGCAGCGCACTGCACTTTGAGAGCCACTTTGGCAAATGGAGTTTTTCAGGCCGAAAGGGCTTTAATGGCTCAGCTGCGGTTGAAGGGGACACTGCTACTGTTCAGACTATTCGTACTCAGGTAAGTTCACCTTTGCTGGTACGTAAGGGATCAGGGTTGCTGGAATCTGCCTTTTCCAGTCAGTTAAATTAATTCACGTTTTGTTTTTATAGCCCAGTGCTCCTGCAGCCCGGCAGGAGTCTAGTCCTATCCAAGACCCTCTTGGAGCCACTCAGACGCTGGACCCTTCCCTCTTAAATCTAGGTGTCCCTTCCCTGCCTCGAGAGGAATCCACAGAGCTGCCTTTACTGGAGCACCTGCGCTGAGGTGGCCCCAGACTAAAGCACACTGTAGTCCCACTGAGTCCAGACCTCTACACCTCCAGTACTGTACTGGGCCAGTCACTCTCTCAGCCAAAATAACTGCTGAACTGAATGCCAATTATTCCAAAGTTAGCCCAAATGTGAACCCAAAACATTTTTTAAAATTATTTTATAGGGTCACTGGGTCTCTTTAGGCAACTTTTCTGTTGAAACATTAGTGACAGGCTACACAGGCCAGTGCAATTTAAAGGGATATTTTTCTAAATGGAAATTTGAGCCTCAGACTTTCCCCCACTGCAGCATTTTCCTTAGTTAAACAGATGTTTATTGGTGTACTTTTGAGGTGAAGGATTCATAGAAACCACATTAAGCCTTGTTTAGCCCTTTCACAAACCTCGCTGGGTCTGCAGTGAGGTTAGATGTGTTTTTTTTCTTTTTTAACACATTCCGTCATTCACTCTTTACTTTGCATTTTAGACAAATTATACATGAGCTTAACAGCCCTCTTCTCTGGCCCGCAGATTTTGTCTTGGAGCAATTTTCAGGAAAAAAAATCCCTTCAAATCTCAGTCAATAAGTGGTGCTGTTATCACCAGTTTACAGTCGATTTGGGCTGGACCGGACGCAGACCTGAATCAGGACTTGGACTTAATAGCTGGAGCCCAGTGATTAGGACCTAATGGATAACTAAATGCTCAAAATATTGCTCACGAACAGACTGGGTGTTGGGAAACCATTTTGATTTTGGTGAATGAATTTTGGTTTTACTTGAAGAAACACTAATTAGTGTCTACAGTTAACAATTTCTCTTGAGAGAAGTGATGGACAACTCGTGATCAGAGTGGGACTTATCGGGGCCCAGGCTGCTGTGAGGGGCGCTGTTTCTTTGCCTGGCCCCTGTTAATACTATACTACTGCTTTTGCATCTCCTACTAAACTACCCACTACTGCTGTTTTTAGTCAACAGTCCAATCCAGCGTTTTAGTTGGATGAACTTAAATAATTACTGAAAATAAAGGTGGAATATTTATTTGCTTGACATGGTCTTACAAATATTTTCAAAGGAGTTTTTTGTCTCTGTTATTATATCAAAAATTTGCCTCCTGTAACTCACCTCAACATCTGTCTAAATTGTTTTGAGTTTTGACATCTCACAAAATTTTAAGGTAATGAAACAATAAGTAATCCTGAAGAGTTACTTTAAAGTTGGCTTCTTTCCCACTTGTTGCACTCTTGTTGCCACTGTGAAAATCCAAAGTTTAGTTGGATCAAAGTAGTGGAAAAAAAAAAAAAGCTGGCCAAACTGTGTCTAAATAGTGTTACTGCTGGCTCTTAAATTTCATAGACTCGCGCAGCAGTTCGCCTGAGGTGGCTGAACACTTCTGAAATAACTTGGTGCCATAGTGTAAATCATTTTGGCCACAAGGCGAACTGTGTGTTACTGGTTTTTCTTCACCACATAATCTTTTAAACGTCAAGTTCCCTCTGTAGGAATCTTGAAAGGAGGCCAGCGTTCTCAGGGTCTGTAGCGGGAAAGAAATTGACTTGTCTTCTGCGGGATGAGATTTTGTCCAAAGGGAGAAAACAAAAAGCTGAAGCTATAAACCAGTGAAATGAGTTGAATCCTGCTACTTGCTATAAAAGTGTCTTGTCTTTGAATCTGACGTATTGTGCTACCTAAAAACTTCTCCATTTGGCCACAGATATTAGATTTTACATTTTGTTGAGGAACAATTGATCTTTTCCCTATTCTGGTAAAAGGTGCATCAGTATCCTGTGTCAAGTCCTTAAACTCAGGAAAAACACGTCGAAAATCAGTGCTGTTCTTTATTTTATATTTTTCTCTTGTATCCAAAGCAACAGGGAGGCATTTTGTTATTTTTTTTTTTATTTTGCTGATTGTGAGGAAAGCACAAGAAAATGGACATACGTAGGTGTCAGTAAAAAGGGATTTCTTAATCTCCTAAATGATGTACAGCATGGTTGGTATATAAATATATATTTAAAATACAGATATATTTTATTATTGGATTTGGGGTTGTTTTTCATTAAAGACACTATGTGGGTATCGGCTCATAACTGGAGAGCTGTGTGGAGAGGCACTCTTCACGTCTAAATGTGCTGTTTAAGAAGAAACTTAACACTTCTTTCGCACAAATGTATCATACACCATCCCGCGTTATCATTTTCTTTATTTACTTTGTTGGGAGGGGTCTTTTATTTAAGATGTTAATGTTTAATGTACAGTTTTATATGTGGTTTCCCCTCCTGTTTAAATTAAAGGTTTCTGTGTCTTTGTTTGCAAATAAAGCGCGTCTTTTTATTTTCATCCTTTGTCATGTTGAACAGCTACATCATCAAATGTGTCTGAGCTACCATCTACCATCTGAACTACTACTATCCTTAGATTTAATTTTATAAGGCAAAAGTTCATTGTATAGAAGAAGCTATGTTTAATTTATATTTTTGATGGTCTATTTGAATGCAGCAATTTCATTCGTTTTTAGCCTTTCCTATAAATTCACAGCCTGGATTTATATAATGTAATTAGTTAACAAAGGCAATTTATTCATTATTAAATAAAAAAAACAAAAACATTTATTTTGCAAAAATAAAGTGTGGTGGTGTGGTGTGGTGTAGCGTTGGCTGCACTTAAGCCTACAGTGGGGTTTTAGACAACTAAATATTACATAATTAGTCAAATTTACACCTTGAATTGTAAAACAAGGAATGCTTAAGAAAAGTCCTCAAATTGTTGCCTGTAACAGGAACCTGAAGCTCATGAATGACTGAGTAAAATATTGGCTTTTATGGATGATTACACAAAAGAGCGCTTGATCAGCGACGGCGTGTACCGGATTTCGTTGTAACTTTCATTGTCCTCTTTGCGCTCCCTCCAGCGACCATCCTGCCCCGTGCGGTGAAGCCACGTGACGAGCAGCACCAGCGCCAGCAGCACCAGGCTCATCGATAACGTCAACAGCACCCCCTGCAGGATGCCTGAGGGGGAGTCTGGAGCTGTTCACACACACAAACCGTCAAGGTGAAGAACAAAACCAAAAAGACAAAAGATCACGAAAAATACACCTGCTTGTATCCATGAATAAGTTATTGCTTTTCCTGGAATGCCCATCAATATGTTTTAAACATATTTATCTCACTGGAGACAAGCAGGTGACCACCAGATCAGATCTGTGGAGAGGTAAAGCCTGGTCACGAGTGCATGTCTTTTTTTGTATTTTTTGCAATAAAAATACCAGTGGAATAACTGAATAAATGCAAAATTGATAACATACTGTGAAACATGCAGGCAAAGCTATACCAGAAAGTTACATAATATAAGTATACTGTTCAAAAAAATTAAAGGAACACTTTGAAAACACATCAGATCTCAATGTGAAAAAAATATGCTGGATATCTATACAAATATGGACAGGCCAATAGTTTTAGGAACACAGGGATGCCTCCTCTTTTAATGGAAATACAAGTCTACAGTCTACAGAGGCTGTTACTTGTATAGACACTCTGAAAATTAAAATTAAATGATGGGGCCGGCTAGTCCATTTTGCCAAAACATAATTTCTGCAACTCAAAATGCTTCTCAATATCTTATGTGGCCCCCACGTGCTTGTATGCAGGTTTGTCGTGGCATGTTCCTAATGATGTGACGGAGGGTGTCTTATGTCCTCCAAGATCTGTGTAAGGGTATCACTGAGCTCCTGTAGAGTCTCAGGAGCAACCTGGAAGCGTCCGATGGACCCAAACAGAGGTGTTCTATCGGGTTTAAGTCAGGTGATCGTGGGGGCCATTCAATTGTATCAATGCCTTCATCCTCCACATACTGCCTGCAGACTCTTGCCACATGAGGCCGGGCCTAGTCGTGCATGACAAGGAACCCAGGACCTACTGCACCTGCGCAGGGTCTGACATTAGGTTCAAGGATTTCATCCATATAACCTAATGCCAGTCAGACTGCTGTTTCCTAGCTGGTAGAGGCCTGTGTGTCCCTCCATGGTTATGCCTCCCCAGACCACCACCAAACCGCTCATACTGAAGCATGTTACAGGCAGCATAGCATTCTCCTAGTCTTCTCCAGAGTCTTTCATGTCTATCACAGATGCTCAGGGTGAACCTGCTCTCATCTATGAAAAGCACAGGGCACCAGAGGCGCCTTGCCACTTCTGGTGTCGTCTAGCAAATGCCAGTGGCGCTCCATGGTGCTGGGCGGTGAGCACAGGACCCACTACAGGAAGTGGTGCCCTCAAGTCATCCTCATGAAATCTATTTCTGATATTTTGGCAGAGACATTCACACCCGTGGCCTGCTAGAGATCATTCTGTAGGACAGGGGAAGTGCTCAGCCCAGTCCCTCTCGCATAAAGGAGCAGCTATGGGTCCTGCTGATGGGTTGAAGACTTTCTACATCCCTGTCTAGCTCTCCCAGAGTAACTGTCTGTCTTCTGAAATGTCCTTGTTCTGGAGACTGTGCTGGAAGACACATTAAATCTCCTTGCAATGGCACGTGTGGATGTGCCATCCTGGAGAAGTCAGACAATCTGAAGAGACAATCTGTGCAACTTCTGTAGGATTAAGGAATGGCCTCATACTCCCAGTAGTGACAATCACTCTAGCCAAAGCCAGTACTAGTGGAAAACCAGCCAAAAAAGACCAAGAGGGAGAAACTTGAAATTACTTTCACATGCAAAACCAGTCCTGTTTTAGTTGTTTAATTGTCGCCCCTCTGTGCCCCTGTTGTTCATTTTCATTAAAAGAGGTGGCATCATTTTGTTCCTAAGACATTCCACTGTCCATAGTTGTATAGATATACAAGATATTTTTTTCACATTTAAATCTGATGTGTTTTCAAAGCGTCCCTTTCATTTTTTTAGCAGTGTATAAAGTAGGCTATATTCAGAAAAAAGATAAAATGGTATTTATAATTAACTGTGTTGAAGAATGGTGCTTACTGCTGTAGATGGACAGGTTGACATAACAGTGTTCAGTCCCTAGAGCATTGGAGGCAGAGCAGCGGTACAGGCCTGAGGTCTCAGACGATGCATTGATGATTTTTACTGATCCGGACAGGTCTCCTGTGAGCAGAAACAAGTTTACATGAACAATGCCAAACCCCCAAAATTGACAAGCAGGTCAAGAGATCAGGAAACTATATTTGAGCAAACCTCTGCCTCCTACTTTGTCCACTTTGGCCAGCTTCCACACACACACACACACACACACATATACACACGCACGCACGCACACACACACACACACATATATACATACATACATACATATACATACATATACATACATATAATACATATATACATACAGACACACACCATACTCATTTGTTACACAATACACACAAGATGCTCACCATCCATGTCAACTGGTAATGGTATTTCTTCTGGACTAAGCTTGTCCCACTCAATCTCTGGGGTTGGGATTCCCTCCTCCACAGAGCAGGACAGGGTCACACTCCCACCATCTGCAATGTCCCCTTCCCACTGACACACAGGCAGAGAGGGAGGAGCTGCAGTGGGACATAACATTTTTGACGTAGTGTTTTGAACCAGGAATACAGATTAAGATGATGATAATGATTTTGGTTGCACTCACACAAAACAGTAAGAGTGAGCTCTCCGATGCCCAGGTCTGCGGTTTCTGGGGGGTTGTTGACCATGCAGCGGTACACTCCAGCATCAGCTTCCTCAGTGTCATTCAGGAGCATGTCTGCACTCCACGGGAGACCTGCAAGGCTCAGGGAACTAAACACCAGGAAACTAGTTCACCTATCTACATACAACCTCTGGTCTGAGCACTCTCAGCAAATATATTAAAAGCAAACAGTGTAGAAAATCAAATGTCACATCCATTTTAAAATGAATTTCAAATTAAAAGTTGGGTTTGTTTGCTTAAATTATATATATAGTATTATTTGTTCAATACCTGTGAATCCTACTCTGCCAATGAATGAGGGATCTTCCATCACTTGTCCATGGTCATAAACAATTACCTGCAAGTTCACACAGCCTGTGTCAAATATGACAAAAATACCACACAGTATTAAAACTGGCACAATGTGCAATTTGAACAACATGATGATAATGTAAATGTTATGTGTGTATATCACAAAAAAGCTACCCTAAATTAACACACATTGAGTGCCATGTCAATGGCATTTTGCTCTATTGTTGAATTCAGACCCTGTTGGCAAAATGAGACTCAGTTTTATGTCAAATAAATACATTAGAATAGGTTTCCTGCTGAACCACACTTCCAGCCTATGATTATGTCCATGTGAATGTCTCTTACCTGTACTGGGTTTTCTGGGCTGGAGAATGGAGCCAGGGTCCAAATAACATTAAGTTTGGTTAGAGGGCTGGAGGTGAAAAAGGAGCAGGGGAGGGTGACCGCATCACCTCTGAGGACCTCCAAATTGGACTCCCTCATGGAAACAGTCAGAGCACCTGTAATGCACCAATCAGCCAAATGATTGATGCAATGAATGAATGCCCTTGGTGTGGTGGGCAATGTGCAATGATTTGTAATGTCCAGATAAGATGAGTATTTAAATTAACCAGTGTCATGTGCCATGTGGAGAAGACCTATGTGTTTGATTCTATACCATGCATTTGCTAAGAATAATACAGTCTCCGTTTGAACTTGAAACAGAGACGGCCTGCCCCTCCTCCCTGTCACCACAGGCTTTTGTTGTGTGTGGGAATGCACTGTGCATATTATATGATAATTACTCCTGACAGCTCTGGGGGTGAGCCAAACCAATCACAGAAGAACAATCAACTCCTATTGGGATTAGGTCAGCTACACTGATGCTTTCTTAAAGAGGGGAATCACTTTTTCCAAGATGAATAAGTCAGATTTGTTGTTGTAAAACAAACCAAAAAGGTAGAATAAAAAGCACATTCATCTGCAAATGAACACTGGGTTAGGAATGTCATATATATGATTTTTCAGAAAAAATTGGCAAATATTGAGAAAGGGACTCCCCTCTATAAGACCCCGCAATAGGGAAAATTATTAAAAACAGCAGCAGCTGAACTAGCCTTTTTAACTAATTACAAGAACTTAAAAGTGGATGATTACAAATAAAACAGGTTCTTCTATTTATGTCACTAATACCAGTTAATTTGATGTTAAATCCTGACCTAAACCACTGACCTAAACCTTCTACCTAAACGTAGTAGTGCTTACCGCTCTGCAGTGAGTAAAGATGCACAGCGAGTGTCCACAATATCCATCTTCTTCCTGTGTCAGCCATGGCACCGACTACACCGCCTCCACCCACACTGCAAACTGCCTGCCCAAAAACTAGGCATGCATGATTAATCCAACTACCCCTCCTAATTTGCTCACTCATTTTGCTCCCATTCATTTAAAGTTCACTGGAAAAGACAGGAGGGTATAAGTATATTTCATGTATGGTGGCCCAATTCTTTGAATGATCACAATAAATCATTTGTTATAGCAATAGTATAAGCAGCGGGTTCCAGCCTGGCATGACTTGTCCTCTTCTTGATAATTTCCTGGACATAAAAAAGGCATTTACTAGGCAATAATACCAGGCAATAATACAGTTCTGAGGATTTGGCTGTTGATCTCCTGACTAAATAAACCTGTTTAATGACAATTAAAAATGACATTTAACAATCTCAACCTTTAAAACATGTTTTTATTATTATTATATTCTTAAATTTTATTTTTGAAATATTTCATCCGTGATTTATAAAAAAAAAAAAGAAAAAAGACTGCCTATTATTCTAAGTTGTCTTTTATAAAAGATTTATAGCTCCAACTTCTGCATAAGCCATCACATTCTGTCAGCTTTAGCTTCATGAGGCTCTTGGCGAGTGTCAAACACTGCGAGTGGCTGCACAGGGATTTCACACACTCCAAATCTCCCTCTGTCATTGTTATGGCTCGTAGGTTCATCCTCCAGAAAGTGGACCTGACTCGAGCGGTAAGCCGTCCAGTCATAAATTCAACAGTGAATTATGACCAGTGGGGAAAACTCAATCTTTCTGTGACACCTTAAAAAGGATGCATGGGCTTATCTTACACTTTTATCCTCTGGTATAGTGATTATTCGTTAAATTTATGATTGTAATTTTTCAGGTCACAATATAATCATAATAACCCTCCAAAAATATTTATACATATATACAATTTTAGAAACATTTAAGTTCAATCAATAATCTCTATAAGAGCCTCTTTTACACTGGCTATATTTACAATCACCAAAAATCAGAGCGATTTCTTGAGTAATGATAACCAGATTATTGAAATGCCGTGTAGATGTCAGTAAGTAAATATCTTTATCATTCACCGGCAGAGGCTTTGACAAAAAAAATTATGCAAAAAGGAGCAACCTAATGTGGCAAACAGACATTTTAATGTAACACTAAATCTGATGTTGTGACATTCCTACTCCAGCATCATACAATAAACAGCAAGCTCAAAAGCAATAGCCCCACCCATGTACTGATCAGAAACCACAACTAATAAAAAACAATACTGCTGATATAAAATGCTATGAGGTACTGGATTAAGATGCTGTTAATAAAATGTTAATAGAAAACCAAATAACCTCACCAATGAAAAATCCATGGAATTCGTAACACTGAATTGGTAAAGCTATAGTAAAAATAGGTACAGATACAATTACTGAACAGAGTAGGTTAAGATAACCTTTTGACTGAATTATTTTTAAATTATAATGAACAACTCGAAGCCCAGATGACATTAGCGCTCTCACATTTAATGTATATATAACATTTACAAATAAGCTATACTTTTACACATCCAACTGCTATTCTGTCTTTTTATTTAAATTCTCCCAAAGGATAAAATTGGCACCAACTTGACTTCTCCCATTTTATTTAATAGACACAACATCCAGAACCAGTTTTGTGCGTTGCAGCTGAAAATACAGTATAATGTGTGTAAAGGGGCAATAATTTTAAATAGTTTGGTGACGTACTGGGTATGTATTTCATTGAGGTGTTGCTCAGAACTAACAGTTCAAAATGTATAAATATAACTTATAAGAGCTTGTATTTTTGTTAGTGCTCCATCTTATATTACATCAGTCTCCACAGGTAGCTGCAACATTAGCCTTGAACATTCCCACACAAAGATAAAAACTTTACAAAAATCCTTTCTAATTTGAAATAAATATGATCATTGCCTCAAAGTGTAACCTATCCCTTTATTTCATGTTCGTATAATCCTTAAATGACTAACTTCTGTTCTGATTTGAGTTGGGCCCTTAATAAATATGTGCGAATTCGAGAAAAGGACAGATATACAAAGAGATGGACAGATTTTAGAGTGTCTGCCTCTCCTCCTTCAGGGTAAGTGGGAGTGACCTGTTACAGAGCGACCAATCATAGGAGAGTCCAGACTGGTCTAGTCAGTCAGATCACTTCAGTGAAAGGCATGGCCCTTTGCTGCAGTTTGGAGAGCAGTTTCAGTCCAATCACAACAACATGGTGACAGGCTTCTCTAGGAACTTTCTAAACTCTGCAAGCCACTGAGCGCCAACCGCTCCATCCACCACGCGATGGTCACAGCTCAGCGTCACCGACATCATACTGGCAACTTCAAATCTACAACGACAAAAGAGAAATGACTAACACTTACTAAAGGCAAATTAAGGTACACAATTTATAACAACAGTATGAACACCTGGTTGGATTCAGTGCAAGACTTTCTGTGATGGAAAAATTGTCCTTATAAGCGTCATAATCCAGACAACAGGTTTAAATATATTGTATACTGTATTACTGACCCTATTCATCAACATTTTGAGCCTTTTCCTCCATTCAAAAAATATGATATGGTTTAAAAAGTCCATTGCTATGGCAACGGCTCCAATTTAATCTTTCTGCAGCCGACCAATTTTATATTTTTTTACTATCAAAGGCAAAAGAGAGGTGATATTATTCAATAATAGTAGGCCTAAGGACTTCAAGCCATATAATTCATTTGACATGTTTGTGGACGCAGTCACTAACAAAAAATAATAGGTTTCAATAATAGTGAATTAGATACTATAGAACTATATTGACCCTCCGTCTGAAATTACGGTGCATCAACATTATAGTCTCTTGATTATCCTGTTTAAAATGTTCTCCCCTTTAGTGCCCCTCCAAAATCCCACTCAATAACGTAATCCGCAATGGTAATTTGTGTAATTAACTGCTGTACAATGCTTCATTTATGTGATATGTGTGTTTATGTTTATGTGTTACTAAATGTATCACAAACCCTTTTTCATTATCTGCTGGAAGGAGTCTCTTTTCGGAGCCTCCAACAGCGAGGATACAGGCCTGAGGAGGGTTGATTATTGCAGAGAAATTCTTGATGCCAAACATTCCCAAATTAGAAATGGTAAAGGTACCCCCCTGATGAACAAGAAAATCAAATCCGCAAGTTTAATGTACAAAATGACCAAATCACTCATAGAAAATGGTACTCTCACAATGTACCTGGAACTCATGAGGCTGCAGTTTGCCTTCTCTGGCTTTAGTGGCTAAAGCAGCTACATCAGAGCTAATAGCAGCCAGTCCTTTGATATGGGAATTAAACACTATGGGAGTGATGAGACCATTGGGTGTGCTTACAGCTACACTGACGTCTACCACATGATTTCTGAAAAAAAAAAAAAAGTTAGAATTGTTGTTAGACTGCCCAAAAAAAAAAAAAAAAAAACATAAAAATAAATAAATAAAATAAAAAATAAAATATAATTATATATATATATATATATATATATATATATATATATATATATATATATATATATATATATATATATATATATATATATATATATATATATATATATATATATATATATATATATAAAATATTGGATATGTTTTGGCTATAGGCAGAAACTTGAAAATAATAATTGCGCAGCAGATGTAAACCACAGAGGGCTTGGAGTGCCTCTCACTGGCAGAACTATGCTACTACATTACATATGCCATTAACATTACAAACAAAAAGATATAGAGACTGTGTATCATAAATATATCATTACATTTAAACTACTCTCATGCATGTATATTGTTTTGTATATTTAATTCCCCTGGAGCTTGTTAAACATATTGCCATGGTTATCTGGAAGTGATGAGAGGAAATTGGATGTTTTACATCAAAGGAGTTCGAGCTAATAAAATATTCATAGAAGAAATAGCACCCCACTATAGGCGGGACCCCATTATAGTGAGTTTAATTTTTCAGGGCATTGCATAGCATGCACGTTATGGTATAGGACATTTACCTGTATAATTAATCATAGATAACATGTGAGTATTAGCATACTCACTGGCGAATTACAGTTTCCATCCAGGAGGAGTTGCACTCAGGGACTTTGAGGCAGGCCAGAGCGCTGGCTTTGATGATGAAGTCATTCACACTTAGCTTGATATTCTGTGCTTTCACCTCCTGTGGTGAGAGCCATTTTAGATCCACAGGACATAAATAACTTAGGATTTACTTTGCAATAGTGTGACAAGAAAGCAAAAATTAAGATTTCTGTTACATGCTCCAAGTAAACACTCACAGCATTGAGCTCTTTGCGAAGCTCCAGTACTTGGTCCATGTTGACGTCGACTGACAGATAATAGTGAGGGATGGTCTGCTTGGACTGCATCAACCTCTGAGCAATGACCTGTGGGAGAGATGGATTTATGCCCCTCAGTTTTGATCCATAATTCATCACATAGAGGCATGATGTGTCAGTCAGTGTGTTGATAAACGATGGTTCTGTCTGAAGGGTAAGACGTGAAGTTCAGGTCAAAGCAGCAGAGACGCACTCTTGAAATAACTTTGCTTCCCAATAGAGAGGACACTGGACTATATTAGTGTTTATAGTGTAAATAGTGAAAGGGAAAGCATGAGGATGTAAGGTGAGGTGTGAGTTACTTTGCGAATGTTGCTGATGGGAATATCAGTGAAAGTTCCAGTCTGAGGTACAGCAGCAGGAGGGGGAGCAGCAGGGGCCGGGGTGGCTGCTAGGGCAGGAGCAGCAGCTACAGCCTGTTTACAAGAGTCAAACACAATGTATTAATAATAATAATAATAATAATTTATACATTATACATTATCCAACATCAAACATTATTTCAAACAACCACTGTAGTCTTACTGGTAAGCCAGTTCAACAATGTCTGACTTACAGGTGCAACTTTTGGAGGAACAAAGCTCTCAATGTCTTTCCGGGTAATGCGTCCATCTGGTCCAGATCCTGTACAAACAACAGTTCAGTTATAATATGTTCTTGATATATGGACATTTGTGAAGATCTTTATTGTGTAAGAATTCACCTGAAACCTGTGCCAGGTCAATTCCTTTCTCTGCCGCCATTTTTTTGGCGAGTGGGCTTACAAATACGCGGCCCTTTCTGGGAACAGCAGGGGCCACTGCTGCAGGGCCCGGTGTGGGCGCTGGAGTGGGGGCCACCGGAGCTGCAGCCTATGAGAAATGAATCACTTGCATCATTTAAAATAAGATGTATTTTGCTTTTATGCAAATCTAACTTACAGGGACAGGTGCTGGGGCGGGAGGAGGGGTGGAAACCTCTGCTACTCCAGTCTCAACATAGTCTTTGAAGGCAGCAATGTCACTCTCTTTCTCGACAATAATGCAGAGAGGTGTTCCCAGTGGGACATCCCTAGTTCCTTCTTGAACCATGATTTTTGCCAAATATCCTTCCTCCTGAACCTCAAAACCTATATTCAAACCAACTGTGAGTAATTACATGTCATTCTGGCTTTTTTGCAGGCCTGTGTGGACTATGGATTTACCAATGGTTGCTTTGTCTGTCTCAATCTCAGCAAGCAGATCTCCCTCACTCAACTTCTCTCCAACCTTTTTCTCCCACCGCTGCACAGTTCCCATTGTCATTGTAGGAGACAAAGCTGGAAGTGTGATCTGTAACAAGACATTATTGTAATAGGGTGAAGGCAGAAAACTGTTTCTCACACACAATACACTAGTCACATTTGCCGATGTACACCTAACACTAGTGTTTGGGCACCTTCATGTGAGTGGGGTAGGAGCTGCCTGGAGCTGAGGGTGGAGCTGCAGCAGGTGGTGGAGGAGGAGCAGCAGATGCCGCAGGGGAAGGAGCTGCACCAGCTGCAGTGATGGACTCCAATGATACATCTTTAAAGGCTTCCACAAGCTCAGGTCTGTGAAGGCACACAAACATAAAAACATGCTTGGGTGATATATCACCCATTTTACCTATCACACTCTATTTTTTCAACTCGTGGTAAGTTATGTTAAGCATTATGTGTTGAACTTATCTCTCTTCAGATGTAATACAAAATGATTAAAAATTACAAACTTACTTATCAACTGTGATACAAATGACAGCTCCAACAGTGACATCTCTTGTTCCTTCAGGTACAAGAATTTTGGCCAAGTAACACTCTTCAAGCATTTCAAAACCAACTGTAGCTTTATCAGTCTCCACCTACAAACAAGAGGCCATTCTTTTCACTCAAGAACAACTTATTTAAGACAACATTGTGGGACACACCAAGGGCCCCCTTACCTCAGCTATGAGGTCACCTTCACTTATCTTATCTCCTTCCTTTTTCTCCCAACGGGCAATGGTTCCTGTCTGCATGGTGGGGGACAGTGCAGGGAGCTCTACCTGTGGAGAAGAGAAGAAATTATGCTATTGAAACACTAGCATTGACTAGCTTTGGTACTTATATTTTACCATATGATATTTTAGGAATATGCGATATTTTTCAACTGAACCATGTTCCAAGGCTGATGCTGTGCCATTTTTGAATTATTTAATCATTTAAATACCTATACATTTGACAGTAAATAGATAACACATACACCTTAAACATGAAACAAACCTATATTTCAAACAAAATAAACATAAATCAAAATGTCCAAGTATACTTTGACATCTGAAGGTGTTTTGAAGCTGCTTCAATGACAAAGTGACATCAATGACACACCTTGGATAAGGACATTCATTTAGTGGGACAAAGTCTGTAGGTGTGCGTTGCACTGTGATGCTAATAAACTTTAGCCTGATCAGGCTAATAGTACAGGGGGCTCTGTCACAACCTGCCCGAGACGTACCTTCTGGTGAGGCGGCAAACTATAAGTGCGGCTCTGCCCGCGGCCCGGTGCACCTATGCTCCGCAGGACCCCTCTGTGACTGAGACTGTGGCCCCAGCTCACAGCCCGGGCCGTTGCTCCGCCATGAAGCCGCCTTAAGCAGCTGGTTCGGGGCATAGGACGAGAGCCCAAAGCACCAGAGGGCCCGGGTAGGACACGGGGGCATGACAGCCTGGCGGACGGCCTCAGCCGCAGAACGAAACGAAGCATTTTCAAAGCTGTTTAAAAACTACGCGTAGGTGCCTGCAAAAGATCTACACCGACATCGAATAAAAAAAAAACAATCTTTAGCTTCTGTGCCCCAAATAACCGGTCCTTACTGACAGCTCACTTTCCAATGACCTCCCCCTTCCCAAAACACCACCACTTACGGCTTTCTTCTCTTTCACACAGTCAGTAACAAGTGTCGTAAAGTGTCGTAATAACAACAACTTATGCAGTAGAAAGGGTTATGCATTTGTTGTAAAAAAAAAAAAAAAAAAAAAAAAGATGAACGCATAAAAACAAAATGTGTTTTGTAACTAAAATCCATTTATTTTAAAATTTTAATTCTTTACAAAAAATAAATTAAATTCAGTTGTTCAAACCTACTTTTTCAAACTACAGTTGGCAAATCTTACATAGGTAAAGAATAAGGCAAACTGTTGGCATTTTTACATCTAAGCTTACATCTTAGTAAACACTCCATTCAGTAATTCAGTAGACCAAAATGTGATGCAGATAGTTTTATCACTTACCACCACCCAAACACAGTGTTTAAACTTCACCAGAATCTCTACTCTAAGGCAAAATAAATGACCACAATGACAACAGACTATAAATCCAAAAGGGAAGTAACTGTAAAAACTTGAAAGAAGTAAAGATGATTACATCATTATAGTAACACAGAGTCTACACAGTGAAAATACCATTCTAAAAACACTGCTTTACAGTAATTCATAGTTGTGCAGAAACAATACTTTGTTGCTCCACAGTCTGAATGATAAAAAAAAAAGTAATACAGTACTGTCTAATACTGCACAAGTAATTAAAATATTTAAACATACATATGTCCTGTTGTAACAGTGCAGTTATATGTGAAGGCACAAAGGCATTTTACACTACCAGATGACAGATGACAAATGCTAATCAATTCAAATATACAGTGTTTCTAGTGAATATAAAATAATACAAAAATGTGTCTATGTGCCTCTCAGGACAGTTGATAAATTGTACAATACAAGTCCTCCCATTGTGGTTACACAGGCCTAAAAGAGGAAACAGCATACATTTTAATCAAACAATCATTAAAAAACAAAACAAAATTGTAGATATACACAACAAAAATAAATTACATCTCTTGACCATTGTCTTCTAACCAGGCCACAATTTTCCCCTCCCAGCCCGGAACAATTGCTCCATCCAGGAAAACCTAAACAAAGTCAAAACATGGTGTGGGTTTCAGGTGTCCTCAGGTTTTTATAATTTCAGGAAATTATAATTTCTGTATGAGTTGTCTGATGACCTCACCTCCTCTTTCACAGTGCCAAACTCAGGGTCCAGTGCTTTAAAGTGGTACCTGTAGTTTCCTTCACGATCCACAGCTGCCTTAACGTCTTTAAGAGTCACTTCACCAAGTCTGTGATTTAAGAAAACTATAAATTTGACCTGTTTATGTTGGAAAAACACAAAGTCAAAGATAGCAGTACCTCTTTGGTATGTGTATCATTGAAGGTGTAGGAGATTTTCCGGTGAAATATAGAAATTTTGTTGAGGCAGATGAAGAGACTTGGGGTTGATTGATCTCTGTGATTAACAATATTACAATTAGTGAAAATTATTGAATATATGAGACATTTGTATAAACTCACAAATCTGACCTTGTCGCTTTGGGGATTTTCCTCGTCCCTGAAAAACATTAATTTAATTTTAAATAATTTTAACTGGATCTTAAGTACAGACACATGATACATTGCTAGGATAATAACCTTACACACATCATTGGAGCACCCAGAGGAAACCTATAGGGCACGGGGAGAACATGCAACCTCCATAAAGAAAGGCTCTATACTCTATACTTTTTTTTAACCTGATTTTGACTTGCGTATGTCTTTAAGATAATCCTGCCAATCAGATACCGGTATATAGTTTTATCATGCTCAGGGTAATAATGCTAACCCTATGCGGATGCAGCACAAGCAGTCTGTCCATCAGTGACACAATTCCCTGCTCCAGAGTGTCCAGTGTGTGCTGCTGTGGGTCGTGATCCTGGAAGTTATTCCTTAAACTCCTCAGTGAATCTCTGAGCAGCTGTACCTCCTCTGTCGGCTGAAAAAAACATACAACAAACAAATTTTGTTTAGAGCATGTGCATGTTAATATGCTGTCTAGATGCTGATTGTAATGTTTATTTTACTTTTTTTTCTCAGTATTTAAAGATTTTTTAATTTATTTTTTATTTCTGCCAAACCAAATCTACAGCCCACAGCCCAAATATAATTAATTTATATGGCACATATTACAAAACAGCAATTTAAAGGGCTGCAATATATATATATATATATATATATATATATATATATATATATATATATATATATGTAAGTTAAATATGAAGGTAACGTGAAAAAGTCAACGCACACATGTCACAAGCGACGCTGGATTTCCAGGGTTAAAAAATCCATTGTTATCTGTGGTGACCTGAAAAAATAGATAGAAGAAAGAAAAATGGAAAATAAATAAATCTAATAAATAATAATACTAACAATAATTACAAGTATTTATGATGTCGTTTTTACCTGTTGCAAATCTCTATTCCTTAGCTCCTGTAGCATTGTGTTCTTATGTTCTAACTCTCTTTGCAGTTCACACTAACAAAAAGTACAATTATTATTTCAAAATAAATAAATAAAAAAACTGTATTTTTTATATACATAACTGAATAATACAAATAAACAAACCTGTTGTTTTTGACTTTCTTCAAGTTTGTGTCTCAGTTGTTGCAGGAGTCGATCCTTCTGTACTATCTCTTTCTGTAGCCAATAGATCACATTTAGGATATTTTCATTTTATGTTAAAATATGACTGTTTAAAATGAATACTACTCAACCAATTAAAAGTATTAAACATCTAATGTAATGCTGATTTTGTGTGAGTGTTTCCAAAAGGTTTATACTGAGAATATGGTGGCACAAGCAAACCATTTTGGAATAATTTTATTTAATACAATGTTTGGAGTATAAATATTTTTTATTGCCCCCACTGGCACTGATAAAATTTAAATAAATTAAGATTTAAAAAAATTAAATTAAATTAAACATAGTCACTTCTGTATGGTTTTGACAATGCTAGAAGCATAAAGTATGTATCACCATTTTTTGTTCAGCTCCTTTTTAGACTATGGGGGCAAAAATTAGACTATGGGGAGCACCATAGTCTCTTCTATTAATGGGAAACACTGTTTCATAACGTGTCTGTAAATTAGTTCTCAAACATTTTAACTGGTTAATTAAGGTTAAAAAACATTGCTTCAATAAAATTAGATTAGATTTTTTTCTTTGGATGATGTATTATTATGAATTATGTACTTGTTTGTCATTATTTCTATGTAGTATTTACAAAAACATAACCATTATTTCTTACCTTGCATTCTCCCCATAATCTATTTGATTCTTCTACTTTCCACTGTAGCTCTGCCTAAAGTCCAAAACACAATCTCTAATTAATATAATTTCAAGAAAAGAAATATATTATATTTAGAGCCTATACTTTCTGGTTGTTGAGTTCATCTCGTGTCATACTGGCCCTCAGTAGTTCCTGCTTCATTTGTAGGATGGCCGTCTCCTGAGAGCACAGTCTCTGCTGCTGGGCCTCCTGAATATTTAACATACAGTAAATGGTTATTCTTTGTACTTAGACACACAGGCCATTTGAGGTGAGTTTTGTCATACCTTTACGCCTTGTAAGGTTCTAATTTCTTGCTTGCAGCGCAGCACTTCTTTCTATTGCAAAAAGATGTTACACTTCAATTGACGATGCACCAATATTATGACAGTGCCTAGCCATGTACCTCAATAACAAGAAAAAGGTGTTTTAATTTTAATCTATTCACAATTGCCAAAAATGTAAATTGCCAATGTATAATGATAAACACAAAAAAATAGGAAAACGTTTAACTAACAATAACTAACTCCTTTTTAGATGTTTATTAAGCCTTTTTCTCAAAATGGTGCAAGTAGCATGTAACTCCCAGATCAAACTGTTATCAAGGATATACACATCCAGTCAATCAATCAGCTATCCTGCGATTTTTAATTTGTTGAAGCTCTCCAAGTTATTTTGTCACATTCCTACATAGTACATTTTGCACAATACCATAAACATGCCAAAATATTAAGGAAAAGCACTACCTTGAGGTCCTTTGCCTCCTCCATACTTTGGTCCAAGCGACTGCGAAGTACGGTCTGAGAGACAAACAAAGTGTGAGAACCTTGTCGCACTCAGGTAAATTGATACGCTCCTATACAAACACACACATAGGTAGACACACACACACATAGGTAGAAGACTGAAACATGATCTACCCCAACCCACAAAAGACAGAGAGGGGGATGAAAAACAGAAGACATAAAAGATAATTTGGGTTAAACTAAATAAATAGAAGAGATAGTACCACTTGTTGTTCATCGTTGCACTGATCCAATTTTAGAGACATATCCAGGTCGTCCTCAGGCAGCGAACCATGAAGCAGCAAGTTCTATAACACAGGACATCATGTGACTGAATTTTGGAAGAGGGAAATATTTGGAATCAAATAAAATCCCATGTTACACAAGGGGCTATATTATGCTACTATTTGTTAGATATATACACATGTTACACATTTATTTAGTATTATCTAACTCAAATGTTCAAAAAGTTCAAATATATAATTCATCGGCACTTTAATGAAAAAGATACCAGTAGGGGGCAGCTTTGTTGTGCACTTTTGAACAGAAACCATCAAAACAAACTCTTGTGATGATAATGTATTCGAAACAACATAATGAAGAATAATGAAATCTTGGAACTAAAGTTAAATACAGTTATAATTATGAATGAGAGTAAAATAAATGACAGTTTTAAATTAGTTTAGACTTCCCCATTAGCTAATGTAATAATGTGCAGAGACAGATTCAGAACTCAGGTTACCTGTAAGGCAGACACCATTTTGCGAGTCTCCAGGACCTCCTTCTCCAAGTCCTCACTGATTGAATCTTCCCATGATGTTGCCACTGCAACATTAGATTCACCTGTAGACAAGAAAGGTTAGTTAAAGGTTTATTGTGTAGTTTTTCATGCTTACTTTATGTTGTAACTTACTGCTAAGCTGCTGCTCTTGAATTCTCTCAGACTGGATGGCTAGACCAGTTCTCGGAGAGGATAGGGGACTGACAGAACTCAGGCTTTAAAAAGGTTAAACAAACAGGTAATGTATGAAAACCTGATCAATAATATAATTTCAACAATCCTATAGCCATTTCCATTCCATTGCCTGTCAATCAAGTGCCATTAAAGGGATACCGATTCTGTAATTGTCTGACATCTTTTTGTCCTGTGGATCTGTTGGACAGAACAGGATAGTACGATGGGATAGTACAGCAGTAAATGGCAAATTTAAGAGATTAATTGAATTTTACTTATTCCTGAATTTTCAAAATGGTGTTTTTAGTACAGTATAGGCATTGTACTAATGACCAAAAATATATTACAAAAATACATAAAATAAATTATGTTCTTACCATTTAATTTGTTTCCCTCCCATAGTGGCTCAGATATAAAAGTATTCTCAAAAGGTCTACATTTTGCAGAACTTCAGCTCACATACTTGTTTTAGACTCATCCCACCACACTGCCTCCAGCTACTGGTGTTGCGCATGGTGCTGCTTAGTACAATCGTGGTCATTAAGTTGATTCACATTGTGAATAAAGTGTATAAATGTCCCATCAGTATGTGCATCATGACTACGCTCAGTAAAAAGTGGTGTACCTTTGGTTATACCTCCAAACTGAAAAGGTCTTAAGGATAAAAAAAACCCTGCCTCTACATTTAAACTAAACCCTAACATACAAAAATAGATTTCTCTAAATGTTAGTATGGTTTTAAGTTCAAGTTCAAAGTTTAAAATTAAATCTACTTTAGGTTTAATATTAAAAGCCATTACCATATTGTGTATGTTTAAAGTCGCTACTTTAATATGTACCAATAAGCACCCAGGTCATTGCTTCTTTATAATAATAATGTATTTTATGTGAATACAAAGTGATGTGTATTAATTTCTCAACATTGGTTGCCTGTGTATTCAAACAAGAGTCATATGCTCAGACAAACCACTGACCCATAGAAAGAGGCTCAGTGTTGAGAAGACGTCAAAGACAAAACAACAACAACATAAAATCTGCAGGCAAAAGACACTCAAAATACATTTAGTATTTATATTTAACTAGGCAATTATGGTAGTATTTTGTAAGGAGTTTCATAATGACCAGGGGAGTTTTGACATTTCATTAAGTATAATAATTGTTAATATACTGATATGGTCAGTTTACTAATTAGTGTTTGTTCATATAATACCTGCAAAAATTGAAATATGAACATAAAAGTGTTTACCTGTTGGAGGAGTCATTGTCCAGCTCATCTGGGATTTTTCTCTCATATTGTTTAACTAACGCACGTACGGACACACTCTTTTCCCCTTCAGAATTCCAACTGCTGAAAAAATACGTATTAGAGCATTGCTTTCAAATGTCCAGTGACATATTTACTGCCCCTACTGAAACAATTCATCAACCAACCAAACTTGTAATTATAATAAAGTTTGGCATTGTTGTAGTCAATGTATCCAGCAGAGGGCAGAAAAGTTTGTAATTTAATATGTTGTGTGTCTGACAAAATTATGGGCATACAAGTGATAAATGTTGTGTATTGAGAATAAAATCTATACTGGTGGACCTGTGCAAACGTGTGGTGCCTGGTGGCTGGGAGGCATCAATGCGTGCTGAAGCAAGAGCTGCAGCTGCTCCTTGGGCCAGAGCCACAGTCGACAGAGGGTTGTGATTGGTCGAGATTTTGTTTGCGGTTCTTCCATTTCTTGAAGCTGCTCTGTGACTGGCTGAGGGCTTAAAGTGAGCAGCCAGTGCCAGAATTATCCTCATGATAGATTTCAGATTGCCCTCAACAATATCTGTAGAGATATTTTAGTATTAGAAATTCAGATGAAAGTTACAGGTTGCTGCAAATGATTTACACTTCTCTAATGTACCCCTTGCAGAGATGTGTGGCATCCGTATGTGCCTAGAGGAAATGAACTGCAACACTTTTTCAATATTCCTTGTGCTTTCATCTTTGTTTTGAGGCACTAGATACACATCCTCTAATACTTCCCCAGCTGTTAAGACAAAAACATTTTACAATAATCTGTATGAATAATTTAATAGTTCATTTATAATTACAGCAAAATACAAAAACAAATACTGTCAAAAAATAAAGATAAAGTGATGTGTATTTACCAACTATTTCGATAAGTTGTGTGAGCACCACTCCATCCTGCAGGTCATGCCTCAGATCAGAGATGGTTGTGAGTCCTGGTTTCCTCTTCAGCTGAGTGTTCACCCAGGACACATATGTCACCAGCTGCTGCTGCACAAAGAAATACACAACAAATTAGATTTCAGTGTGCACCTTTATCAGTTGTACCTTAATACACTACAACAGTGAAGCAGTTTATATGTGTTGGAAAATAGACTGGTGTACTGGTACACACTACTCTTTAATATATTTTAGCATTTACATTGTAACCTAATTTGCATAATTGCTGTGTTTATGTATTACTTGTCAAGACAAACGTCGGTGTCTGTGTAGTACAAGTCAAGACAAGCTGAAAGTTGACATTTGGCATTAAAATTTTTACGGAAACTAGGTAGCATTTAATCTAATGCTATGTAGTAATATCACAGGGGGCACAGGATGTGATGTGCCAATGCATCTAGAGCAACACCGGCAGGCAGTCACGTGACACGCGCGTCGTCCGGGAAACGCCACAAAGAAAGAAGGCAGCCGAGTTCAAACATTATGTTCAACATGTCCCAACACTGGTCCCAACATTGGTCCCAACACTGGTCCCAACACTGGTCCAAACACTGGTCCAAACACTGGTCCAAACACTGCATACATGTTCACAAAGACTGCAGTTATAATGTGCACAACGCTGAATATGTTTGGACGCCGACAGGAAACGGCGCCCAGCCATACCGCCGCAAAAGGTATAACACAGTCACAATGTGTCAATTAGTTTTCTTTTCTACGGGTTGCCTCTGGGGAGTCTGGGGAAAGGGTTACCTCATTGTTAAACATTTTAAACAAGTTATATGTAATAAATAGACACAAGAAAGTCCAAAAGCTAAGAACGTTTTGTAAACATCACTTAGCGAACGTTACCTCGTTGAAGCCCCCGTGAAGAACATCATCTAGCAAACTTCCTCTAGAAAGTGAGGCGATCATCTTTCCATCCGAAACTCCATTGGGTTAAAAAACTAACTGTCTAGTGCCATTCACAGACGGGGCATAGCCTTACAGTCTATGATTTACAAGATAAACCTGAACCATCAGAGGCGAGCACTCCCGTTTGTTGGGACAGCAGGGGACCAGCCAAAAGGCACAGACGCACAGAAGCACCACATTTCCTGTTTACTGCTAATAAATAAAAGCATAAAGAACTATACTTCCATGACTGCACTTTTATTCCGGAAACAGGATTATTATGCAGGCATATATACTTTTACATTTGACACAAAAAACGCGATGCATTGTTTAATGCACAATCTTTTTGGTTTCTATGTGTTACACCCTATCTACAAGGTTTCATAGCATATAGCTTTAGAGATCATAGTTCTCTTAAAACATTACTGAGTAATTTAACCATCATCCATCATCCTTTCATCTAACATTTTCAAATGATGTTACAGGGTGAAGTTGTGACAAGTACAACTATTATGAATGGATATAGTTGAATGCATGTGTCTGAACGAGATCATATTTCCATGTGTCAAAAACCGGACACCTTACCGGGAGTGGGAGTACGTTGAGCTACAGTCGTCCCTCGCTATATCGCGGTTCACCTTTCCCGGTCTCGCCGTTTCGCGGATTTTTTTTTTTTTTTTTTTTTTTTTTTTTTTTTTACACACGGGTGGGTAAGGACTTAACCAGGTCTAAACCAGGACTAATCTTGGACTTAAAAGAGAGAGAACGCCGAGCAATTTGTCCGCAAAACGCGATCGGGCAATTGCCGCGTTTAACTCCGTGAGGTGCGGAGCTGAGCCGGTCCTTTCTCCTGCGGTCACCTCCGAGCCCGTCCTGAAAGTGAGTCCTATTTCAGTTCTGTTTTAATCCTGGTTTAGTCCTGGTTTAGTTCTGGTTCAGTCCTGGATTAGTCCTTCTCTTCAGTCCTAGAATCAGTCCTAGGTTTGTCCTGGATTAGTCCTGGTTTCGTCTTAGTTCAGTTGGCGTAGGCAGCGCAAAAGTTTGATATAATCTCGGATTAACGGGCAGGTGCGGTCCTGTACTGCGCGGGTGCGGTGTTGTACTGGGGGTCTCCAAAAATGGACCCGTGCAGGACTCTGAGCTGTAGGCTCCATTACGGAATAAATGAATCTTCAGTTCGTTACATAAAGAAGAAGGAAAATAACATAAGGACGACAGCAGCAATAAGTTTTAAGAAGGATGCCAAAAACGGTTGCACCTCTCCTGTCTGAAAAAAGTGTACAAAGTGTGTGGCGAGGGGTTTTACAGCCTTAAAACATATAATAATTGTAAAATTTAAAGTTGACTACTTCGCGGATTTCACCTATCGCGGGTTATTTTTAGAACGTAACCCCGCGATAACCACTGTACTCTCACTTCGCAACCTGTGCATATGGCCTCTCACTTGTCCCGAGAATTTCTTGTACAAGTCATTGTTAAATGCGCATTTGCGTTTCGGTATGTTGCGGAGTGACCGACCGACAGTTTGTGTCTGCTCGCTCCTTCTGAGTCACAGATGCTACGAGAGACGCTCAATTTAATGCCCCCAATGAACGGTAGGCCTAATGAAAACCCGAACATTTGCACCACTTAGAAAAAAAAAAAAACAAAAAACTGGACGCCCAGCACAGGACGCAAAATTCGGACATGTCCGGGGAAAAACGGACATTTGGTCACCCTAACCTATACATGAACTGGTGTCATGTAAAATATGGAGAAAAGAGAGGCAGGTGTTTCTGGAACATGGTCAACATGGTCCTCCAGCATCTAAAACAATATTCTGAAACTATTCAGCTGCAGAAAACATCAATTCATTTACCTATACGATGAGTCTGTAAGAACTTTTGTGAAAGTTTTTTTTTTTTTTTTTTAAAGGGATGCTTGAAGACAAACATGCACAGATACTTTGCTAAAACAGAAAAATCTTTGCTCAGGTCTGTGGTTATGCGTTTTTTGTTTGTTTGTTTTTTTGCTTTGATATGAGCTGATTTATCTTCTATCTTGACTGTCATGATCTCCCCATATTTTACATTCTTCAATACCATTCATGATTACCTGAGCTGTCACCCTTTTCAATTCATCAACTAAAAGAATAAGAACAAAATAAGTGCTAATATACAAATCAATTAATAAAAATGTAAGAAAATGAACAAATGGATCAACCTGGCCTACCTCCACCATTAAAATCATGTGCAGACAAACTATGGGTCAAAGTCAGGCAACATACATAGTCAGTCTTCTCACTCATTTCAACCATTTCTACAGAGTGAACATCCAGGCTGGACTGGCTAATGCCCTGAAAAACGGATGCAAGACACAATATTTCAGTTTACAGCCAGAGACTGAAAAAAAGACAAAACATGCAGTAAGACTGTGCAGTTAATTGAATTTTGATCATGGTTTGTGTGTCAAACAATCTCCAAAAAAAGTTTCATTTGTGATATTTTAGTATATTTATTTTATTTTATTAAATAAAGAGACAGCTGGATATATAGTTTATTTTGGATACATTTATGTTTTTCTATGCCACATTTCATATTTAAAGTATATTTTATTCATTTTGTTTTATGCATCGTCAAGCTGCTCTAAGGTACATATTTGTAACCTATATTTACTTTCAATTTGAAAGTTTTGCATAAATTGTCAATAACAAAGTGTTTCCTGGTTGAAATGTTGTGTTATACAGTGTAGATAGTTACACACCTTCACGTCATGTGAAGCCATTGGCAGATGAAACTCATACTTGCTATGGTGATGCCTAGGTAAAGTCTGAAGGGATCTGAGAAGAGGTCCACACCGGGCAACATATCTTCAATGATCACATCTGATGCATAATAGGCAAGTTCAGCTATGAAGACAGCAGCTTGAAGGCAGCTTGCTCAGGGCTACTAGGGGGAAGCCTGTACAAAGGTTCTACACACACTTATGCAGTTATGACCATTGGATTGAACTCAACCTGGCTTGTTGATCTACTGGGCTCTCTCCAGACAACCTGTACTGAACAGCCTACATAGAAAACATTTACATTATAAAAAATGTATATTATTATTATTATTACAATCGTTCATCAAGCAGAATGTAACTTACAGCATGTGTGTGGGCCAACAGACACTGTAATTGTGAGTGGCTGTGTTGGAACAACTGGACATAAGGAGATGTTTTCTCAACAACTTTATGATACCAAAATATTTACAGATATTGTTTCTTCCCACTGTGAAAATACTATGAGTACTACTTCATGTTTCATCCTTGCAACTGCATTAAGTTTAAATGGCAAATGAGATGTTTCATCCAGTTACTTTTAACTTAAGTTACTTGAGGAGTAGTTTCCCTGAATACTTTTACTCTTAGCTACTTAACAAAAATAAATTAAGAATTAAAAAGAAACAATACATAAGCTGGTTTAGACTTGGTTTAGTCCTGGTAGGCCTTGGTTAGTCTTGGTCGCAAGGGCATGTGAGGTGGCCTCAAAGAGCACTCAGGTGGAGATTTCTGTTCTACAGTGGCTGTAAATGTCTTACCTCTCAGTCACTTCTTTTGTCCTGACATGGTGAGGCTGAGGAACTCCACTGCACATCGTGGTGTTTTATGACTCCTTTGATTCAAAAAGCACCTCTACCACTCAAAACTAGGTAGGAGTCTACTATTTCCATATTTTAACACATTTTAATCCTACAAAAACAACAGGAAAACATGAAAGAAGATTGAAATATTAAGAAAGTAACGTTAGCCAGAGGTTTTGTTGGTCTTGTTGAACTGTTCTGATACCTACTAATTACTCAAAGCTTGCCAAAAAGTCTAGTCACTGAATTAACTTATCTTGAAAACAAATTTTACCAGATTTTGGACCAGAGGTCCATGAAATTCAAAGTAACAAATTTAAATTTGAAATATTTATCTATCAAAACAACCCTTTCCTGTATGAGCTCACAGAAAAAAGTCCCCTAATTCTGCTCAATACAAACTCATCAGTTCCCATTCAGGCACATGTATACACTGCACTCTCCTGTCTAAAACTCCTGGCATGGGTGATGGGCTGGCGGGCTAAAGCTCTGGCAGATTTTCACTCCTGACACACATTTGCACAGACACACAGCACATATTATTCACACTACTACTGCACATTGCATCTAGTGCTTTCGGTCAAATTTTTGGTGACCAACATTTTCCTCATTTATGACTAACAAAACACGGAATTCAAACTAAGATCTTCTATTTCAATCCAATGAGGAAACAGTGAACCTCTTGTGTCTATACACAGACACATCAAAAAAAGAAAGGGCTACTTTGTTATTTACCTTTATATGAAGAATTTTTCCCCTAATAAACTGCTTGTGGAAGTCAGAGTATTACATCATAGTAAACGGTAGACGTGTGCACAAACAGGTTTACATCTGTACTATTTTTATTTTTATGATGCATTTCTGATGGTGTCTGATTATGTCTTATGTCATAGTTTAATGGCCAAGGACGAAAAGCTCAGAAAGTAGATTGCCCTTAGGAATAGGCAGTGCTAAGATCAGCCTGACCTCCTGGCCTTCATTCCTGTTTCCCTTGATGAGAAGACAGGAAAACTCAAAACCTAGTGTAAGGCTTAATTGCACTAACTCTACATTGCAAAGCTGCTTATTTGGAGCTAATATGACACTCCTCTGTTTTAGTTAAATAGCCATTATTCTTTAGTGTGGATAGCACCTAAAATGTTTATTAAAATTTAACAACAAAAATGATATTTGATCTGTATAAGCAAAGCATAAAACAATACTAAGTTTCAACAAAATAGAAAGCTGAGAATATGACAGAGAATACGATGAATGTTAAAGGTGAATCTTAATCATATTTTATTTGTGTTTCAAAAGAAGAGATTGGATTCACTCTTGAGGACCACCAGAAAAGAGGCGTGAGGACAAAGTTTGATGTATGAGCAACGATGAGCAAGTAATGCTTGAGATGTAATTATTTGTATGATGTGAAGAAAGAGAGAAAGACATTAATAATAAAAACAAGAACAATTTAAATAATAATTGCAAGCAGTTTATTTTATTAAACCTTTGGTAGGTACATGAATCCACAATAACTTTACGATAAAATAGAAATGACAATCTTTATACCTATTCCTAATTATGATTGTAATTTTTCTAGATGCAAAAAAGATCAGCCACTAAAAGGTTAGAATGGTTAAAACGTGGTTAAATGGTTAAAACTGCTTTTTATTATTGTCATATATAGTGTGTTGCACACTTCCTTTTTTCCAGTTCAGTAACAGTAGAAGTCCCATTTCTGGATGGATAAAGAAATGTTATGAAAAATATGTTTCAGCAACATACATACCAACATGCAGTGATTTGCATTATAACTTACTGTAGTCTTAACCTCAGTGTTGGCTGGCATCAAGGCATGTGTCTCCTCCACCACACTGCTGGGAAAATGCCCAATCCGTGCCTCCTGCTGGCCATAATAGGAATCTTGCACCTACAAAATGTTAGTAAATGGTTATTGCTTTTTAGGAATTGTATTGATATGAAAAAAGAACACTCACACTGCCAGCCCAGAACAGGTTCCCTCTGTCTTTCAGCATGGCATAGACATACACAAGCTGGCCTTGTCTAATTGGGATAAATCTGCAATCTCCAGGGTAGTAGTCCTGTAATGCACGAGCTATCAAGATAGGATCTGTAGAAACAAGTACTTGCATTAGAAAGAGCATGCCAATTTGATTTTAATTTTAATTTAAATTTTACCACATACCATATTGTACAAGTTTTTTACAAAATGGCAGTAAATAATAATAATAATAATAATAATAATAATAATAATAATAATAATAATAATAATAACAGCCCATGGGAACTCAAATTCAAATTAGATATTATCACACCTGCCTACATAATTAAGTAAAAAATTTAGGCAGTGCTACTCACGACTGCATTCTGCATCAGCACATAGTTTCTTGTCCGAAAGTTTGGGCATTTCTTTTCCAGCTTCAGATGGGAATATCAGCAGAAGCCAAAGTGACAACCCAAACAGGAGATGGTGATACATTTTTGCATGTGAAAACAGCCACAGATTTAGATATGATAGTGATCTTGTTGTAAAGTTCTTCTTGTGCCTTCTGGTCTATTTGCCTAGTTAAGAGAGAGTAGCCCCTGTCTTTACACTCCCTACCCCCTTCTCCTTATACAGACCCTCTTTCAACCCGAGCAGGTAAACAGTTACATGGGATAAGGAGGAGGGACTAACTTACTACTTAATGCAACCTCTTGTCTCATCCCAAATATTCTTTCCTAAACTTTTTTTTTTTTTTCATTATCCAGCCACTAGATGTCCCAGCTCTACATCATCTTGCCACATAGTATCTTCCTTGTTACTGTATCTCCACACCTTTTGGTCTGTGAGGGTGGAGTCATTGGCTGTTTATATTTCCACTGTCAAGGAAACCAGCTTAGCCTCCCTTGAGCAAACACACCCACAGACACACATATACGCATGCAGTGACCAAACAGGAAGCAGCAACCTGTTACGAATCACTTGACTGGTGTGGTAAGGTAAGGCTATATTTTCTATATACATCCTGAAAATTCATAAAATTTTTGGTGTGACAAGTCAAATAATGATTAAATCATGTTCTAGTAATTACCAATACATGTCCATATATTTGTTTATGAAAAGTTGTTGCGAACTTTGGGCAATACAGAGGAAAAACTTGAACTGGCTGGACAGATTGCTGTTTTGTCTTTTTAATTAGTGGTTACTATAGAGACGTACAATGTGGCAATTAGGAGTTTTTGGTGTATTAATAGAGAAAGCTTGAGAGCACAATGGCTGGAATTTTTCAGGAGGGGGTAGAACGTTGTGAACAGTGGAGTTGGTATTTCGGTCAGAGAAACAAAAGCTGATATCTAACAAAAGCACTACTTAAAGAGTCCATGTGGATTAGATTACTAGCAAACAAGTACTATGACGCACTGGCATTCCCAATGTAAAACTATGAATGTTTTTGTTCCATACAGGGTCACCTATGAATGAGATTTGGATGAACCAGATGGATGCCAACAAACTCAGCCACAAAGGATTTTGAAGGATGATTTCTGTTTAAGGTGACTCATCGTTTCAACCTAAATCCACAAGATGTTTACACCCAGGAAAAGCAGTCTTCCCTCTCCCAGTTTGGAGGACTCTTTCTTCCCTCTATCTGCATCCTCTTCTATCTCTCTGTCTTTTGCTCTCCCTTCTTCATCATCCCCAAATGGCAGCGTGGACAGTGGGGCAGGGATAGAGACTGACCTGATACTGGCGGCAGAGTTGGGACAGGCCCTCCTGGAGAAGAACGAAGAGTTGTCAGCTGCTCTGGATCAAAGGGAGAAAGAATGTGAGGTTAGTGTGACCTTTTAAATGAGACAAAAAGAACAGTATAGTTATTACTGTGCTAGAACTGTGTGTTTTTGCGAATCTGTAATGCTGTTATAAATACAAAACAAGGGGGAAAAACAGATGTAACTTAAGTTTTTAGACCATTTAACATTGTCATGAATATGAATCTTAAAAAGGGATTTTAGAAAAAGCAATAAAGTACATTTTTAAATTATAACAGTACTGATTGGAATAATACATTATTTAATAAACAAACATGTTTATGTTATGTTATGCTTTATTAATAATAAGTAGTAGATTCAATTTAACTAATACTCAATTAATTGTTTTAATCATTTAGATAATAAATTATGTTGAATTTGGCTTTGTGGTGGTAAAAAATATTTGCAATATTTTTGACAATCTTAATGAAAAAAATGTCACCTTAATAGAGAGCAATACAGTAATACAAACTTATGGAAAACTTGTCTTGGTTTCTTTTAGGCTTTGCAGCAGGAAAAGCACATCCTCCAAAGAAAACTGGAAATGAATGAACTAGCCTCTAGCCAGAAAGAGGCAGAACTGACCTCAGATTTGACTTCTTTAAAAGCAGAACTGGAGCGCTATCAAACCAGTGGGCGTGACAGACGTCGAGACGAGAGCGATCAACTAACTCAGCTGGCCAATCACAACCAGCGCCTGGTGGAGCAGTTAGCAGAGGTTAGCATTTGTTGTTTTTGGTTTTTTTTCAGATACAAAGACAATAAAGACAATTACATCCCAAGTATGTTGGGAAACATTGTGTGTATGTGTTGGTAGATGGGATTAGTGTGTGTGTTTTTAACTGTCTGGGATGATGTAACACTGTCACACAGACACCAACAATGTCGACCAGCAGGTTTGGAGTGTCCTGTTTTAGTCCTGTTTTAGTCACAAATCAAACAATAGCTCTTCTCCATGCCTCTCCCACCTTCAGGCTGTGACACTGGAGCACTCCTTGAGGACTGAACTGCGATCTCTGAGGGAGGAGATGGAAGAATCCTCCTTCAGTCGAAATATAAGTTTCTCACAGTTAGAAAACATCCAAGCAGAGGTATGCAACAGACTGTGTGGTTTTACTTTTAAAAGAAATTATTTGGGAAGTTCTAAATCAGCAAACATCCTTCATGTAGTAAAATAATGGGCCCACAGCATACAATTCATATTTATATAATTAAGTTAAACACATCTGGGAAGGTTAATTCAAATTATAATAATGAGTTATATATATGAAATATAATATGAGCATAGCACATACAGTATATAAGTGGTACAAAATGCTTACAGTTACATTACAGACATACATATTAGGTAATCCTCAAATTGTTAATGGCTACCTTTTACAGAACAGGGTTTTGTCAGAGCGCCTGTCCCACATGGAGAGGCAGCTCAAAGCATCAGAGGAGGACACAGAGAGACTTCGAGTGGAGAGAGAGGTGCTGAGGGAGAAAGTATCTGACCTGCAGGTTAAACTGAGCGAGCGAGAGGCTGAGGTGAGCAAAGTCTGAGTGAACAGTTGATGCAGGAAAGCCTGCATCTACATGACATCATCTTCAACTTTAATTAAAAAATAGCTCCGCACCCATAGATTAACACTGGCTTCTAACCAAACTCACCTCTGCCTGTCTGTGTCTGCTTGTTGTGTGTGCGTAGATAGAGCAGGAACAGGGAATGATCTTTGAGTTGCGAACCATGAATCGTTCACTGCAGCAAAAGGCTCTGAGCCTGGGAGAAGAGAGTGTCCTGGACAGCTCACACTTACAACCCTTGTCTTTGCTTAGTGAGATTCAACAGTCGCAGGTATTCACAGAGACACACAACCACACACTGAAAGTTGTCCAACGATTCAAATTAAAACATAACAGTCTCTGACAGCGAAGGTATCCCCATGGCACTCATTGGCATCTGTTGCACAGGATATTTTTGCCCTCATTTCTGATGTTTTGACAGTAGAAAGCACTGCAATTAACTAAAACTGTTCTATTAATGTACAGCAACAGTGCATCAGCAATTTCCATATTGAACCTATATGCAGAAATATGCTGAATATAATTTGCAGCTTTGCACTTTGCTTTTTTAAAATGGATGCATTAGGAAAAAAAAAAAAGAAACATCAGATTAAACTTGAGGGCCCCGTACAGCATGTTCTAGTCTTCTTAACAGACTAACACAGCTTATATGTACTAACAATCTGTTAGGTATCAAATAACCTTAATTCTTGAGAATGTCATGTGATAATTTATTTAATCCATATCAGCATACAGTAATGGACAATATATATATATATATATATATATATATATATATATATATATATATATATATATATATATATATATATATATTCTAAATATACTTTTTGTCTAGGCAAAGGAGGTCCTTTTAGCGCACTCAGAAGTTTTACAAACAAGAGATCAAGAAATACAAACACTAAAAGAAGAGGTATGTTGGTCAATAAAAACAAGTCAGCATTTTCTGATAAAAATATAAATGAATCGTAATAATGGTTATTGGGAATACATAATCTATGACCTGATGTAATGCTATTATGTATTTTACAGCTTAAAGCTAAACAAGAAGAGCTGGATTCATTACAGCAGGAAATCAAGCAATTTAGAGGCAGTCCTGAAAAGCCAAGCTACAGGTATTTCTACAAAACATTGACCTAATAGTTTTCTAGTGTTCTCTGTCAGAACCATGTGTGTTTTGTCATCTCTGTACAGTACTTTAGAGAGTGAACTGGCAACAGTGCGGCAAGAGAAGGAATCACTCACCAACCAGCTTCTCAACACCATAAAACACAAGGTGGCACTGTCTCAAGAGCTTGAGGCTTGGCAGGTGCTTGGATAATATTGGCCTTACTTGAACATATAAAATAAACATAACATAATTGGAGCATTGTATTTTGTATTTTTACAGGAGGACATGCGATTAGTGATTAATCAACAAGTGCTGCAGAGAGAAGAGGAAAGACAAAAGGAGCAGGAAAAACTTGCATCACCTGCTGCAGCTGGACTGCAAAGAAGTAAATCTCTAAGACTCAAAGGAGAAATTGGGAAAGGATTTTTTTCATCATTATTCAGAGACAAATGACACCTGAGGAGCAGCCATAACCTCTACCAATAAACAATGTGAGCCCTGAATGCCAGATGATCCACATATTAAGCTTCACATACTAACTTTGAATTATTTAAAAAAAAATGTAATATTGACAGACCTCATTTTGAATATTATTTAATGTATTTCTGTATATGAATGTACAGAGCCATCAGTATTGATAAAGATATATAGAATATATTTTAAATTGTACATAGTTTTACTAACTATTTTAGATGTGTTTATATTTTTAGCACCTTTGATGGAAATATAACTATCTGTATACATATACAAATTCTGCAACACTAAACTGCTTTCTGCACGTAAACAAATCCTTTTTTTTCCAGAAAAATAAATAATTCTTTGAAGGAATCAGATGTGTCAAAAAATGTTAACAGTTATTACTATATCATAATCTTTGTTTAATTCAGATGCAAGAATTATAATACAAGTAAAAGTAAAATGAAAAAATAAAATCATATTTTAGTTAAATTTATATGGCCAAAACAAGTCCTTTATGGTCCAATTTTCCACAAATAATATTCAGTTTCAGAGGTAGACCCAATGCAAATCTGAAACTGAAATACATTATGGGGATCCATTCTCGATATCCACGTAAAAGTCATATAGTTTCTTCCATAAATTAATTTATGAAAGTGTTCCTGCAAATTGTGAAATCATCCTACATTGACACCAAGGCCCACTTGAAGCTTGTCTCCTCTGTGATTCACAAAGGCACCCATAATGAGTGTGGCTGGAAGTGGGGTCAGACGCTTCTCCAACACTCCTCCTATGATGCACCGACTGTTCACCATTCCTAGAAAGAGAAACATAATAATTATAATGCTTTCTCTTGCTTAAAGATTAAAAGGGTTTAGCAGTGGTATTTACCACGAAAGACCATGTTGGCCTCTGGGAGCTCCAATTTGTATCCAAATGAGGTTGTTGTCTCTTGAGTTCTTGTGCTTGCTTCAAACTCCACACCAACTTGAATCTGCAGCCAACATAAGCAGGTCAATACTGCACTTCACAGCAGAAGATGTGAGCTAAATGTATAAAAACAATGTTCAACTTTGAGTAAATCCTCACTGTACTTGTTTGTTTGCTCTGTGATAGTAGCTTGCATGGGCTCCTCCCTTCCCAGCATTAAGTGTCACCACCCAGTTTGGCCCTGAGAAGATGATACTGCATGAATGTGAAAAGCTGAGACCAATTATAAGATCAGTGCAAGATCAATAGCAAAAACTGATGAATTACAAAGAAAAACTCACTAGAGTATTGCCCAGCCAAAGTCAGAATACCTCCTTCCTCTGCTCGACCCCGATGGTAGACAAGCTCACCTCCTAAAACTAGACCTGATGAAACACTCTGCAAAAAGTGTGCTACAAGGATGACTGTGAACAAAAGTATAAAAAATAAATATAAATAGGGTTGAATTCTATGTGGTAGACTAGACAATATAAATCATTGCAATTAAATTTTTATTTTCTTACCCGACTCACGGAGGATGTCTGGATTAGCTACAGTCACTGCAGCTGTAAAGTCATTTCCCCTGTACTCTGTTTCAAACTGCCATGTTACAAACTGGGATTGCTGAGTCTACAACACAATAAAAAATATAGATAGCCCATAACAGGTACACTTGAGAATTACTAGGTTAAGTTTTTTCCCACCTGAAAGACTGTCCTGGCTCTGACACGTTCAGTTAAATGCAACAAAGCGTGAGCATTGAGACTCCCTGAAGAATCCATCTCACCAATTAATGCGGGGGCATCCTGCATGTGTGAGACCAGTTCAGAATAAATTCAAACACAATTCAATTCACAAACATGTTTATAACAAACATTCACATTAAGTCTCACCTTGTCTTTGCTGTTATCATCTGTTTGCAAATGCTCAACATGGAATCGGTAATAGGAAGGACTAACAGCACTAAGATGAAGAGTGTGACTAACCTACAACACATTAGACATTTACATATACTGTTCAATGCAATAAGTGTTACCCATGTCATTTATTATTGTAATATGTAAAACATGGTTAATACCTTAAAGAAACTACTCAAGGTTTTATTAAGAATCATCTTAACTCCCTCAATCTGTTGAGGAAACACCTCTATGAGGAAAAGATTTCAAAGATTATTACTGACAGTAAATGGAAAGTTACATGATTATTAAGACGGTGTACCTTTGCAGCTTCTGTGCAAAGAGTGAAAGCTACCAGGGTTAGGTAGGCGCCCATCTCTTCTCTCCCAGCGAGGAGGGCTGTCCCAGTGTGCAGGATGTGCATCCCAGCGAGAAGGAGCAGGCTCTGTGGAGAAAGGCCAATTCTGACCTGGCGTGGAGGACAGAGCTAGAACACTGCCCATGTGGGCAAAGTCTTTCCTGGGGAAACACAGGAAAAAGAGAAAAGATAACAAGAATGTAATTTCTCTTTGTTTATGATGAAAATTACAATACATACATAAAACACACATACATAAACTGCATACGTAGAAAAACATACGTAAAAACAAAAACATATGTTTATGCATAATATGGCATTCACTTAGGCCTATAAAGATGTTGTGATCTCATCTGCTAACAGCAGGTGCAGGTTATGTGAGCTAACTTGACCTTAGCATGAACAAAACAGACAGATTGTGTTTGGATTACATACCCTCCTTAAGCAAAACACTTAAAATTCCAGACGGAATTAAGGAGTGCACATCAGACAGGTTGTCAGTTTATCTTTTAAATAAACAGAAGAAGATGACATTTTAGGATGATGGGATACAGGGATGCTGCGGTTAGCCGTTCTTCAGTGATGTGCTACACTGCCGCTGCATCCCCACGTCAAAATACGAAAAGTATTCCCGAAAGCATGCATAAAAGACAATCTGCAAAATAAATACTATCTAAAATAATATGAATGTTGCACATCAGTCAACACGATGGAATATCAAAATGTTCGTTTTATTTGACACTTTGCCTAGGAACCTAAATTACCAACCATGTGTTCCGCGGTGTTTCCAGTCGGTATACTGTACTGGGGACACCACATCTTTCGAGCCGCTGTTGCTACAGGTACTTCTTCAAAGGGAAGAAAAGGTCAACCTTCCCTTTTCTATGTTTTTCATATTTTTTTAACAAACAATATTGCCACACTCAGACGATGTGGCAAAGTATTCCGGTTGAGTATTCAGCAAAAATGCCGACATTATTATGAATGAAGATAGTGGTGGTCATCCTTACGCACCCACGCATCTCCTCTTTCATCAAGCTGCGTTGTTGGCTTTTTTTTTTTTTTTACGTTTCTACTAGGATATTACGATTTTTATACCTTGAAGATTGTTTACACCAGCTCAAAATATGTCGCCTTTACGGTCTGTGCTGTTGGTAGGAGAAGGTAACTTCTCTTTTTCGGCTTCACTGTGCCAGTCCTTAAGAGGGTCTGACACCATCGTTATAGCCACTTGCCTGCAGCAAGAGGACGAGGCACTGCGGCACGAAGGGTCAGCCACTAACATCCAGATCATCCGGGAGGCTGGTAGGATCATTCACTCAAGCCAGATCTTTTCCCGTATTTTAGAAAACAAAATACCAGAACGTACTAACTGCATCAGAGGAAAAAAGTATATGATGAAAATACATGAGATTACAAATATAATGGGACCTATGGGACTTGGATTACATGAGCCATCCTATTGCGGCATGTATAGCCTATATAGATTTATGCATGCATTTACTCTTTAAATGAATTCACTATTGTTTTTTTTTTCTCCAGGTGGAACAGTGCTATTTGATATTGACTGCACAAAGCTGGGAGAATGCATGTCTCTTAAAGGCCATTTGTTTGACCTTGTCATATTTAACTTTCCTCACTGTGGCAGAAAGAGTGGAGTTAAAAAGAATAGAGAACTTCTGAAAAACTTCTTCCACAGGTATAAAAATTATATTATATCTGTGCTATAATATTTGCTTTCAAATTTTTGAAGAAGCTTATTCTACTGTATTATCTCTGGTTGGCTGTTTGAGTCTTTTATTCTCTCTCTTTAGTTGTGTTCGGGTGTTGTCTGAAGATGGGGAGATCCATGTCTCCTTGTGTAATGGGCAGGGAGGTACTCCGGCTGACCAGCCCAAGCGTGAATGGCACAACAGTTGGCAAGTGGCAGCTATGGCTGCAGAAGCTCAGCTCATCCTCAGTGACATCCGGCCATTTGAAAGTGAGAAATATCAGAGCTACAAGTGCACTGGATACAGGTAAGACCTGAAGGTGAGTGTGCCTGTGTGAGAGAGGAGTTATTTGGTTCCAGGAATTTGCATTTACAGTTCTGGTGGCTTAACTGTTTTGCAGGAGTCAAGATAAGGGCTTCCATGTAGAAAAGGCTCTGGTGCATGTGTTCACCCACAGCCTGCCATACGCTCCACCTCAGAGGCTGACCGTAGAGGAGACTGTCGAGGGGGAGAAGGTCCAGTACCAAATGCCAGCAGAGCTCAGTGATTACATGTTCAGGTGCATAATAGATGTTTAGATTGTGAATTAATATACAGCTATATAAAAATAGCTTATTTAATTTTTGATTAACCAGTTGCTATAAGTTAACATACTTACCATAATTATTTTCACAATATCATCCAATAAAGTAAAATAAGTTCTTGATTTAAAAGAGGTTAAATCTGAACTGAGTTAGAAGAACAATTTGAACCATAACAATCGTTATTACATTTATTTTGCTACCTTATGTTGTCTGTCATTTCTTCTAGGGAATTCCTCAAATCAGGCTCAACTCACCCTGTTAAGCTTGTTCAAGACTTTGTTCTCAAAGGACTGGCAGAGAGTTGGTGTGTCTCCATGATAACTGAGACCATCCCTTTTCTTCTCAGCGGGAAACAGGTGCAGAAATGCTGTAAAATAGACAGGACACAGTGTTATTTGATCCAGTTGCTTCAAAGGGACATCGATTATGAAAGTCATTCTGCGGCTGACAAAAACAAGTGCACAATTTTGCAATCCAACAGTTGGACAGAAAAGAATGAAGGAACTGCTGTCAGTTCAGAAAATGCCAGGAATAAGGGAGCAGAGGTGCTGAAACCTGTGCGGTCGCTTGATGTCGATCCAGAAATAGAATCTGAATTTTATGTTCTGCGGCCATCACTGATACCTCCACTAGAAGATTTGATTGCCAGACATAAAGCTTTAAGTACAGACTGTGAGACTAAAAGTGAAAGTTCAGAAACATTAGTAAATGTAAAAGAGACTCCCTCTGTTGGCACTAATGGCACGATGTGTTCAATGTGGGGCATTAGTGATTTGGTGTTTAAGAACATGCCTATAAATACATGGGCCCTTCCTGTGTTTCATGAACTTCTCTTCAATGCTGTTCTCCCCTCAGAGCCTGATCCACTCACAATGTTATGTGAACATCTTGAAAAGTTGCTTGGTCCATATGGAGTCTCCTTGACGACAGAGCAAGATGAGTTCTGCCTTATGGCTCAACCAATGGGTTTAGTCGGCAAAATTCTTGCAATTAAGGAAGGCGAAAGCCATAGTTTTATTAATTTATGCATTAGCTTAAATCTGGACTTACTTGCTGTGCTCCTATTTGCACTTCCAGACTGGAGACTTTTGTGGTCACATGATCCTCGTTTTTATAAGCAGTTCTCTCTACAGCCTTCACCGGGAACACCTTTCTGTCCTTTCTCTTTGTTCCCGGAACATTTTAGGTTTGATATTAGCTTCTGGACAGGGCCCAGTTGGGATGAAAGGAAGTTTTACTCTGTGGTCAGAGAGGCAAGCTGTGGTACTGTTCAACAAGTCAAACTTATTGATACATTCTCACACCCAGACCTCAGCCAGACCAGTTACTGCTATAGACTGGTCTATCATTCACATACACATGCACTTTCACATACACAGGCCCTCCTCTTTCACAAACGACTGGAAACTGTGCTCTCAACATGGTTGCATGTTACGGTTAGATAGGGTTTTGGTTTTAGAGGAAATGTCTATATCTATAAATATTTAGCTCACAGAAAATATATGTATATCAATGCTGTAACAAAATTTATTTCCATGCAGTCCTTTAGAGTTGGACCATCAGACATTATGTAGGGGTTTTCATACATTTCCTCTAAGAGCCACTTGAAACAAAAATAGGTCATGTCTGTTCCTGTGAGCAGCAGTAGTGACTAGCTTATATTTTTTATCTGATCACCATCTCATGCCTTAATGCTGAACTAAAGTAAGACATCCAAATAGTTTGATTGGACAATGTTATGGGCATATGATGAAGCAAAGCTCACAATTTTCGTTTTTCTCTGTACATTTGTATCCCTTTGCCTGGGAAACTTGAAATGGAATACTGAGGTGCAAGTTTGAGACCCAGTGTAAGCTATTAGTTGAAGTTTTCTGCATTCTCTTGTAAAAACATGTGATACACAGTTTAACTTGGCAATAAAATGGCTTTTAATCTCGTCTTTCCCTGTTTTTTGTTTGTTTGTTGGACCATATATTCCTATATAGCTGAATTTAATTTGACCTCTACGGTGAACTCCGGCCCGTATAGATCTACCATGGATCTACTCGCATCATAATAATCACACACGAACACGCTGCTTTTCTGTCATTGATCGGAGACGACGGAGAATCCCGAAGTGTGACGGCCCTACGCCGAGAAACATGGCGGCTAAGGGACTTCGGCAGCGCACCAGGAGAGGAAGCAGGCAAGATGCAAACAGTGTCAATACCCAAGCTGATTCTCGGCAACATAAAGAGGAAAAAGGAGGCGAGGAGAGTAAAATCACAGAGGCGACCCGGCAAGAGTGAGTATAAAATGCCAGTACAGACTAAATGCATCGCTTTATTGGGCAAAGCTAACGCTAGCTAGTGTGCACGTTTGTTTTGACATGTCAACATAAAAGCACTCTTTACACAATACTCTAAAAAACAAATCTACAAATAATATGTATTGTGTTTTCATGTTGCGCATTACTCTTAGTGTATTAATATTAAGAAATTGTATACATTTTATTAGCGTTTAGGCGTGCACTTACGAGCTTGTGGAGGCTGGAGCTCATTCATTCTTCATAATATTAATTGTCTGTAGCTACATACATTACCTGTCTGTGACTTGCAATGAGTGCAATGAGGGGAATGGTCCTATATACTTTAATTTATTGATACAGTCGTGATACATGCCGTTCATAGCTTTAATAGCATTTGTTCAGTTTATGTGACGTGTCATATCAAACCGTTGCATGAGGATCATTGCTGAGCTGCTGCTGATCCAACACTAATCTAACTAATCTGAAGATGGTCCTGTATGCATACATGCTGCCTAGAGGAGATGGCTAAGGCACCACAAAACGCAACCAATCCAAGTCATAATGTGATTTATACAATATTCAACTTATATTTGGTCAGTAGGCGGTTTGGAATGCAAACGTATTTTTTTGCTGATCTGAGTCGCTATGTTACATAATTATTCTGCATATAAAATGTCCACAGGTAAATCAATAAATTTAAATAAACCACGTTGCTTGACACATGAACTTTGTTTCCTTTTCTAGTTCAGTGAGTCGTGGGGGACAAGTTTGGGCTCCAGAGGGCTCTACAGCATTTAAATGCCTCCTCTCCGCACGATTCTGTGCAGCTTTGCTAAGCAACATCTCTGACTGTGATGAAACATTCAATTATTGGGAGCCTGTGAGTTACTATTAAACATGTACTATTGTGTATCTACAACAGTTGTAAAACTTAAACCTGTGTCTTTGGCAGATGCACTTCCTGCTCTATGGCACTGGGATGCAGACGTGGGAGTATTCTCCATTGTATGCCATCAGATCGTATGCTTATTTATGGTTACATGCTCTTCCAGCTTGTTTGCATGCTCATGTACTACAGACAAATAAAGTGAGTTGAACTGTTGAATAGTGTATTGACTAGAAACTGCAATATTGTATGTGTAAAATGGTCTGTTGCTCCTCTTTCCAGGTGTTAGTCTTCTACTTTGTACGATGTGTCTTAGCTTTCTCATGCTGTGTCTGTGAGCTCTATTTTTACAAGTGAGTTACCAGTTTGTTTTGTAATGTATAAATATAAACTATGCAGCAAAATGTACATATGACTTTTTTCCCAGGGCAGTTTGTAAGAAATTTGGTTTGCATGTTGGTCGTCTGATGTTGGCTTTTCTCGTCTTGAGTACTGGCATGTTCTGCTCCTCTGCAGGTTGGTAGCCTATTTAATACATCAGTCAGTGCATGTGTTTCTCAATTGTTGCATCATGATAGTCACTGGCTAACATTAAATTCTATCAGATTCGGGTTTTTCTCAATACTGTTTAAAATTGGGTTCTACAGGTCATGGCATTATTACATTGTAATTTTTTTTGTTTGCTCAAATGATTTTAGCCTTCCTGCCTTCTTCCTTCTGTATGTACACTACACTGGTGGCCATGACTGGATGGTTTCAGGATTCAACTCCTCTGGCTGTTTTGGGTGTTGCTGCTGGTGCCATTGTTGGATGGCCATTCTCTGCTCTGACTGGGTAAATCTTTAGTCTTATTTTTATCAGAAATGTATAAAGGACATTTTAAAAAGATAAGTCTTTCTTTTTTTCTCAATAGTCTACCGATTGCATTTGACCTACTTGTATTAAGGAGACAGTGGAAGAGTTTTATTACCTGGGCAGCCATTGCTTTATTGCTGTTTTTGGTAAGAATATCCATTTACTGTAATTTTTGTATATATACTTTTATCAAATGCATTACAGAATTGTTATTTTACACATTTGTGACATAATGAGCAAAACAATTGTTATTAGATAATTAGTGCTTAAAACACTGTCTCACCTTTTACAATATTTTATGTCATTTGTAGGTACCTTTGGTGGCTGTAGACTCATTCTTTTATGGGAAACTAGTTGTTGCACCCATTAATATTTTGTTATACAACGTCTTCACACCGCATGGGCCTGATCTGTATGGTAAAAACTATTATCATAGTTATTATAGTTGTTATTACAGTTTTGTATTTGTTTGCAAATGTTAGCTGTGTTTGTTTTTAGGCACGGAACCATGGCCTTTCTATTTCATAAATGGATTTCTGAATTTTAACCTGGTCTTTGCTCTGGCCCTTTTTTCTTTGCCACTCACTGCCCTCATGGAGACACTGTTGCACAGATTTAATGGTGAGGACCCTCTGTTGAGCAGGATTTATTGACATATCGCAGATGTGCACTTTCTGGGACCTGAACTGTTTGTATTGTCTAATATTTTCAAAGACCTGTTTAAACATTACTCCCAAATATTTAAATTTAATTTGTTTGACATGCAGTACAAAACCTGGGCCGTCCATACTGGCTGACTCTGTCTCCAATGTATTTGTGGATGTTGGTTTTCTTCACCAGACCTCACAAAGAAGAGCGATTTCTCTTCCCCATCTACCCACTGATCTGCCTCTGTGGAGCAGTTGCCCTGTCATCTCTCCAGGTTTTTTTTTTTATTTTCAGATCAAAATAATATATTTTTTATATCTGAATATGATGTAGACGTCAATATGATGTGTTTTTTGCTACAGAAATGCTACCACTTCCTGTTTCAGCGATATCGATTAGAGCATTACACTGTCTCTTCAAACTGGCTGGCGTTAAGTGCAGTTATGGTCTTTGCGGTGCTCTCTCTGTCTAGATCTGTGGCTCTCTTTAGAGGTGTGTATCCCATTTAATTTATTTCCTCCCAGTAACTATTGATCATGACCAAGCTGTTATTTTTTTGGTCCACAGCCTACCATGCTCCTCTAGATTTATATCCAGAGTTTCACCGTATCGCCAAAGACCCTACTCTGCACTCAGTACCTGAAGGCCGGCCTGTTACTGTGTGTGTGGGCAAAGAGTGGTACCGCTTTCCCAGCAGCTTTCTTCTCCCGCACAAGTCAGTGTCCAGTGCTGGAACTATTAGCTCACTAATCATTTTTGAGACATTTTCAAAGTCTTACTGCCACGTTAAAACTAATTATAACCATAATATTTCTTTGATCATTTATGTTTTATCATTTTATGTGGAGTTACTGACTTCCAAATGATGCTTTGATTAACTTTTTTCCGTAATTTCAGTTGGCAGCTGCACTTCATTCAGTCAGAGTTTAAAGGGCAATTACCTCAGCCGTACTCGACTAGTCCTTTAGCAACACAAATGATTCCTGCAAATATGAATGACCAGAACCTGGAAGAGCCATCCAGATATGTATGTGTTTCCTTAATTTAATTTGTTACATGATACAATCCAATATTGATCATCTTGTTATGACAATCTAATGTTCAACAGTCATATGAGACCAGTGCAAAAACATTGTGTCTTTTGGACCAAGGCAGATTTGGTTTTCAGACTGAGTTTAAGCTCTTATCATCTCTGACACCCTGTCAAACTCACTCAAATCTTTAGTCCTGCCTCTTCTTTTCTTGCTTTTAACGCATTCATATTGCGTATCTATCCTCATTGGGTGGGCAATATTGACAAAAATGTATCTCTGTTTATATATACTTTTTATTATTGCAGTGATATCCAGACGATATTTTCACAATGCACCAAGAACGTGCTAAAATTAGCCTGTCTTGGTGGAGTTAAACCAGAAATTGTAATTAATTAAAAAAATTACTTCATACCCTTGTTTAGATGATTATACTATACTGTACATTTCTGTCTGTTTTTGAGGTAATTTTTAATAGTTTTAGTATAATATATACATAATCTTCTAATTTTGCATATTTCAAAAAAACAATATATGGTGATGTGATCAATATTTCAATAAATCTCACCTTTAATCCTCACATTCCACCTGTTTAGTTGTGTGCCTGCTAAATGGTAAATGGTCAAATTAATGCATTGGCTTGTTCACACCCACATCTTGTTTATGCAGGTAGATTTAAAACAGTGCCACTACTTGATCGACTTGGACTTAAAAGAAGAAACACCGCTTGAGCCACGCTACTCATCTAAAGAAGAGTGGAATATTATTGCATATAAGCCATTCCTACAAGCATCAAGGTATTTATTTTGAAAAATGGCATCAGTGAATTTTGTCAATATCAAAGTTGTCATCAATGCATTCTTCTCCCTTAGGTCATCACCTATCTTTAGAGCCTTTTACATTCCTTTCATATCAGATCATCACACCACCTACAGACGCTATGTCATTTTGAAACCTCGGCGGCAAAAGCAGAGTCGTAAGCGGAGTCATGGATAAAACTGAAAAAAGACTACAAAATCATAGACTTCCTCTTTAAACAGCTGGCATTTTTGTGTAATGTCTGTATGTGTGAATAGGCATCTACATGTCTATAAGTGTTTACCCTTTAAGAACATACAGTACAGTCTACTTTTGCCTGTATGATTTGTATGTGCTCTCATTCAGTCTGAAAGTTTGTGAATGGATGTTTTTGAGGCACAGAACAAAAGACATTGACCCAAGGACACAATTTACAATGAAATTAAACTTGAAGTTGTACATTTATTTTTAAACTTCTGAACATTTTTGTTGCTGCACTTATCTGTAAATCCTTGTGTCTTTACGCTAAGTGTGAGTGGGTAAGTGACCAAATCTATGAGATCATAATTAATTTAATAATTTAAGTTAATAAAACTGACTTGATTCTGGTTTTACCTGAAACTTGTTTATTTTTGTTTAATATAGTCATCAAAGCCAATAACCCACAAGGATAGAAAAGACAAGGGGGGGAACAACATAAAAATCCTGACATTATATACTAGTACGGTACATATACTTTCTTTTACTTCTAATGTACACTAGAGGGCCTTCAACAAGACATTATCTTATTTTAAATACTTTTATTTAAAGAGTTTCTATAACAAACATACAAATAGCTTTCACATCTGAGAAATCAAGGCATTTAATAATTATCACGTTAGTTTTATTATATATTCTGTGTCATTCCATTGCTGTGATCAGGCTGCAGGCACACTAACAGCTGTATTAAACTTTGTACATCTTATATATAGCTTTTATAGGCTGACGGCAAATGACAACGAAAGAACTGTTTATGGCATTGTATAAGGCATATTCCTTTGTTCTGATGTATGCTTATGAGGAAATGGATAAAAATTACAACAGGCGCATGTACAAAAACCATAAACCTCAAAATCATCCAACCAGGCAAAGACGACATACCAAGGCCATGCAGTCTCTGAGGATCATAGTCCCTCTCTGGCCAAATTGTGATATATTTTAAGTTTAAAATAATATATACCAGACCAATATATAAATAATACAATAACATATAATACATACATCATATGAACACATTTCATATAATATCATATATTTGTTTAAAACAGACCAATTAGACCATGACAGAGTAGGAAAACCAAAGACAAAAGACATGCTCTGGCCCAGTTGTGCATTTGTCACAGTTTAACTTTTTAAAATAATTTGATTCGCTGCTTGTTTACTAAATTTATTTCTTTCATTAATCCCATTAACTAAAACTTGTTAAAGATCTTTGTTACTAACCACACCTGTCACAAGGGTGATGTCTCATCATATATTGATTAGTGGATCCTTCGATATACTTTTACTGTATATTTAAAGTTAAAGTAAAGTAACCGTTGATGTGTGATTTAATAGTTTTCTCTGTTGATCCAGTCAAAGTGCCTCCTCCCATTGTCTAGATTCAGCCCACTTCTGTAGTCCACATTTGATTGGTAGGATTTGCGGCGCCCATAAGTGCCCAGGCTGCTCTGGAAAGTCTCCTCCTTGCCGTTGTTCATGTATGTTTGATATAAGTCAGCCTTCACAATGGGAGGCCTGATTTTTGGATCAAAGAGACTGGTGTCATACAAATCAGGTACTGGATACACAGTGCTACTATAGTGCTCACTTTTGGTTGTACGACGACCCAGGCTCCTATCATAAAACTCCCTATGCCCCGTAGATCGCCCCAGACTGCTCCCATTTATGTCTCTCTTGATGGGTCTCCCCAAACTGGTGTCATAGAAGTTGCCACGACGTCCAAGGCTTAGGTCGTTGAGGTCAAAGTTGAGAAAGCAGCTCTCGGTACTGGCCAGTGTAACAAAGCCACTCTCTGTGTCCCGACCTCCCAAGTTATCGTAATCACCCGTTGGAGTGTCCGGAGAGGAGCCCAGAAAAGAGGTGTTCTTAGTGTGTGGCCGGGTGGAGACTAGGTCATCCTCCTTCTGTGAGCGAATAACATTGTAGACATCGGTCGAAGCAGGACTAGGACAAATACCTGGCTCAGTCTGGCACACTTCAGACTTCTGCTGAGTCCTCCTATTTTGTGGACAGAAATAAAAAAAATACAAATAATCAGACAGCTCAGATTAAAGGTGCATTACGTTACTTTTCTGGAGGAGAGTGCGTCCCCTGCTTTTCTCCATGGAACGCTCCCCAATGTGGCATTAAACTTGGTATTTCAAAGGACAAAAACCCCAGCCCACGAGTGAATGTTTTTCTAGGTATTTTCAGCAATTAAAAAATATTGTTGAATATAATGCAAAATATACAAATTGAATACCATACTGTGTAACATTACAGGCAAATCCATGGAGACCAGCAGGTGAGAAACCCACCTCCAGAAAAGTTACACAGTGCATCTTTCAATAAACATAAATGTGAGAAGTAAGCATTCTTAAACATGTGTTATAGCATGAGGCCAAATATTCAAATTTATTCCAAAATGTCAGTTTTATATTATGTTAATAACAAAAATCTCCTGTATAAGGGACAAGACAAGTTTACATGACCTCTGACCTCTCCTCTCACCAGCGAACCATAACTCACCTCGACCACACCTCTAATTTCCCAGAAGCCTATTTGTAGCAGCCTTTCCTGTCATCCCAGTTTGTCTCGGCTAACTCAACCCCACCCTCCCACCCCCTATTTTGGTCGCCTTTCAGTCATAAGACCCCTATGAGGGGGATCCCGTTCTGGCTGGGCCGATTGAAGATTGAGACGGAGCGCCCACCTAGAGTCTCAACCCAGCCATCTCTGCCCCGCTTCGTACATTATCAATATACTTCTTTGCACTATGTCCCTGTTGGTGTGGTCCGAGCTAGTGAAACAACAACAAGAAAAACAACCATACATATATATGAAGACACACAGTGTCTCTTCACTCACTCAAATACAGTCCATACTGCGTTACCTTCTGCCAAACATTTTGAAGCAGCAAACGCCCATCACGGTGAGGAATAGCAGTATCAAAGGGATGGTGGGAATAATGATGTAAACCAGATTCAGAGCTATAATCAAAACAAAATGTCAGTTGTATCTATATATCTAATGAACGTGAAACAGTGTAATATTTAGATTGAGGCAAACCTGTACTTCGGTCACTGTTGTGCTCACTTGGACTCCAGGGTAACACAGATGGTACGACATCTGGAATAAAATGCACAGCTATAAATTCATTTGCCTATAATGCTTTTTGTGGTTCTCTGTCTGAAGTAAATATACCTGATTGTGTAGTATTGGGTGAAGGAGACACATCCACTGGTTGCTCTGTAAAAAAAAAAAAAGATTTCAAATAAAATTACTGAGTTAATTAATCTTTCTCTTTTGTAGGCTCCAAGTACAAGTACAAAATTCTAACAATGAGCACTGACAGGAAGGCACCAAAGAGAACCAATAAAACAAGTGCCTATGCAAATTTCACAGTATCAGAGATTGAAGTAACTCAGACGTTTAAACCACATCATTGTTTTTGTACAGAGGCACTAAAACCCTCATCAAGAGAATTCAAGATCATTGGTTTTACCTGAAGTGTATTTGCAGATGAAATTGTTCTTAGTTTCACAGTTGTCATCGTTCCACTGAAACATGTAGAGTCCTCCAAGGCCGGGTGGAGCAGAGGGCTGGTGGTACATAACCACACACACCTCGTACCCACAGGAAGGCTCATCCCAGTGCCAGTTTCTGAATACACAACACGTAAAAGGTAAAACATTTCATTAAAGGTGAGCTATGTCTTCTAATGGAGGGTCCTCCCTCTTCTTGTCTCTCTTGTCTTGTCTCTTGATCTCCCTGGAGATGCTTTCCCTGGAATGTTCCACAGTGGTGTACACCTATGTAACTTTATGGAGACAAGCAGGTGACGCCACCAGGCCATGTCTCAGATTTATGCAGAGTCGTGCCCATTTATAGTAAGAAGAATGCATGTTCTTCGAAGTATTGATGAGCAATAAATTGAAGTAAAGCCTAGCTAAACAAGTACAAATTTCCCAAAAAGCAGAAGAAGATAACTCAATCTCGCCTGTAAGTAGACTTGCTGCTGTCCAGCCAGTAATACTGAGGAGAACAGTCGGTGGAGCTGTCCCCATCCCCGTGATCCCTCCGGAGGCCGATCCAGAAGTCTCCGTCAGAGGTCCGGAGCTCCGTAATGAGCTGCTCTATGATCTGCTGCTCGGCCTCGGACTCCACGCTCAGCAGCTGACCCCCGTCCCGTCTGCATGCCAGCTCGGCTTCCACAAAGTTCAGCCGCCGCCGGAGTTCAGAGAAATAGGCGAGTTTGTAACACGGCTTCCCCTTTCCAGCCTTACAGACGCGCTGACCTAAAACATGTAGTTAATTGTAGTCACCTCACAAAAGACTTGAGAAGTATTTGGTTTATTCACTGCATGCCTACCTCTGGCTTCAAATATGTCAGCTTTGAGGTCACACACAAGTCCAGAGGTAGCAAAAGAAAAGAACAAAATAATTCACCCCTGGTAAGTAGTTAATCTGTTGTTGTAGATCATAGACCAAGAGCTGGTTTCACTCCGTAGACCTAATCCATATATAAAATGCAACTGTCTAAAAAAAGCTGTCATTTACAGTAAAAGGTGGTTAGTTGCCTATAATTCTAAAAGAATCAGGTGTCTGCATATATATTTTGATATTGTCAAAACAACCTGCTTCATATAGGTGAATAAGTTCTAACAATAGACATGCTGCCACATGGGTAAGTTGCCATACTGTCGTTAAAAAAAGGTTTGATCACAAATGTAATACAGCAGATCTGTGTGTTCTTCGAGTCTGGTCTTCTGTCCCAATATGAATTCATAGTTTTTTGTTTGTCTACTGATATCTCAAGAAGCCCCGGGGGTTCGAGGGAAATTGCTACAATATTCAACATAAATAATCACATAAAGATGAGGGTGGCCACCTGCCCCACAGCATGTGACAACTCACCCCACTATGGGGCATGTCACAGCTATCCAACCTATGTTTGAGTTCTAGTAATATGTACAAGATGGAAAAATGAAATGTAACTGATCTCATTTGGTAATATTTAAAATTTCTGTTGTGTTTTGTTTCAGAGACAGGAATGGAAAAGAAAAGTTTTGACATACTCTGATTTCCTCTATCTATAATTGTGCATCTTAAGCACTTCTTGACTATCTATTGATATTAATGCTATCTTAACTTAATAAAATAGGGTCAGAATGCAACACCAACACTTAATGTGAACCAAAACTGGTAAAACTAAACTAGAACTTTATCTTGAAGAAACTTTTGTCGCATATCATATCCACAAGACAATGTGTAGTCTACCTGAAGCTGCCCAACGGGCTACTATCACAACCACATACCACAGTTAAAACGCGCCACGCTCTCAGACTCTTTTTGACCTACCTGTGATAAGGCTTGTCGTTCCAGATGGTTTGAAACAATATAAAAACAAAAAGTGAGCAAATATTGTTAGGACATCCATATCTGGAAAGTCTCTTCAGATCTTCTTTGTCATTTTATTCACGTTTGAAAACCCCAATACAACCAAAAATCACAACAACAAAATCCCTAAAGCTCAACTGGCCAGATACAGACAAATGGCATCAGGGAGCCAGCGCTGTGGTCTGTGAAAGTGAGACAGAAGGAGGAGTGTTAGAAGAACAAGAAAAGTGCGCGTGTTTGGGAGGGGGGCAGTAATCTGTTAAGAGCAGCCTTAATGATTGGGGCAGAAGGCTGCATCGATCGCAGACATCTAATCCTGCAAGTGCTTCGCATTGTAAACGCTGACAAGACGCAGATTTCTCTCCTGGCTTTATTACTTAAGCTCCAGGATATTATCATTACAAAAGTATTACATGAAAATGATCCCCTCTAACGTGATCAAAGGTGTTTTAAAATATTTGCTTAAGAGCGCAGCGTTGCATCTTTATTGAGTTAGCGACGACGTGGGCGAGAGAACTTTTGGTGGGCACGGCTGTAGTGTCAATTGAAATAATAATAAAAAAAAAATAAAAAAATTAAAATAAAAAAGATTTCATAGGTTGAAACAATTGTCAGGCATTCTTTCAGATTTACAATTACTTTTTTTTTTTTTTTTTTTAATGGTGTATAATGAGTATGACCCAGAGTCAGATTTTTTTTTTTTAATCGTAGCCTGCAGAACAGTGAGCGGAGATACAGGGTAGGTCAAAACAGATTTTTTATTTTTATTTTTTTATCATTCAAACAACAAAGGGTTTTAGCATTCAAACAACAAAGGGTTTCTCAAACATGCATGGATTATCAATCAAAAGTACAACTTGTATCCTATAATGATGAATAAATAAAGATTATGACAGTAGTTAAAAGATCATAAAGGCTGATAAACTATATTCCTCTTTAATGGTTATATATCCAAAATGAAACATGCATCCACAAGAAGTCCTCAGGTGTGCTCATTGACTGTATGGGTGCACAGTGACGACTCAAGATTGCACTTGACTGACAAGTAACATGATTGTCAATATGTTTACCAAAAATAATCATAATGTTGTTTTCTATCTCTGTCTGGGCTTGGTAGTATTTAACCACCAAACAAAACATAATATTCCTGCTATAAACTCACATGGGTCAATAATGCTCAATAAATATCTCATATCCCAATTCATGTAATCAATTAAGACCGTCTGCCATGAACAAGCCAAACTAGTATTATTCAGCTTATGAGCTATGACCCATCTGCTGAAGATCATGTGTTCAGATTCACTGAACTGTATTTTTCCTTGGACCATGACTAAATGAGATACTACCCATTTGCCTTCCACAAGAGATATATCACATTAAAGCACAAACTCACTCAAATCTTTGCACGAGTCATTTTTCTGCTAATTTCCCAGCATTTTGACAACATTTGACAAAATTTTGACTAAATCTTTGCTCGTTTTTTGTACTTTTAAAAACTTTATATGTTGTCAGGCAGGCACCACAGGATATAATCACAAACTGTATAAATAATGTGGACTCGCTGTAACCCAACTGGTGCCACATATATATTTTTATACTGCTTTCAGTCTGGAAAGAGCTGACCAAATTGATCTTGCCAAACTGAGCATTTGCCTCTAATGGCTCAATGTAGTTAGCATACAAGTTCAATCACTGACCACTGAAATGTCCAGAAGCATCAGAGAATGAAATGACTCATTGCTTAAAGCAATAACGGTCTGCATGTTCATCATTTATTGTCAGGCGTTTTCAACTATGCAATAACACAAGTCAACACAAATCTTTTATGTTTTGAAAAGTAATTTAGTATCATTAATTTCATATCAGACATGATACATTTTCATCACCATATTAGTATATTTAAAGGTGCACTATGTAACTTATGTGGTCACATATGGTGTACGGCCGGCCACCTGCTTATGGATGTTATAGATTTCCTTGGAATGATCCACAGTGTTGCACTGAACTGGCACCATCAGGTTATGTTACAGGTCAGATCTAAGGAGACACTGCTCATAAGTATGACTAGTTTTATATTATGTTTTGCAATTAAAATACCAAATACAAAATAGAGTTTAATGGCACATATTTTTAAAGCAATAACATCTTCAGGTGGCAGACCCCCCTCCATTAAAGTTACACAGTGTGCCTTTAACATGGATTGTTACATCAACTATTGGTGCTGTCAAACACCAAAACACTGCATTCTGTTAGCCGTAAAACATTACAGTGGTTGTAATGATCGCAAATCTAAACATGCTGTAGTCTGGCTCACAGGTGCTATACATCATTCAGTATGAAATATATTGCTTATAAATGGTGACAGCTTCTTGTATCGTCTACATAATTTCATACTTCAGGCCGGATCAGCAGTGGCCTGTGATGCACGAGTCTCAGCTTTTCTAAGCACTACTGAAGAGAAAGAGAGGATGTATGCACTTCTTAATGGTAGTAATTTCTAAAATGGCCCTAACGGTTGATTTAAAGCTGGAGGAGAGACAGATCAGGCTGAGTTTAACAGCGAGATGCTTCATCAGGAATATGCTGCGTGTGCTAACAGTGAATAGAGGGGCGTGTGCAGCTGTAGTGGGCGGGGTATCTTCATTAGCCTATGTATACTGTCTGCTGCTCTAATCAGTTTACCTATAACAAAGTGGTTTCAGTCAGGGAGCTGGAAAATGCAGTCGGGAAATTGGGGTCAACACTCCCAACAATAACAGTTAAGACAAAGAGGTAACCCAGTCTTCCACCCCGATCCAATAACAAATAAATCCCGTTTTAAATTTCCTCTTTGTTTACGACGTCGCACTATAGCAAAGGGTTCATTCAATTAGACCCTCTCCCATTAGTCCTTCCTCTTATACAGACCGTCTACTCCATCCACTGGCTCCATTTATCCCAATTAGTTAGTTAGTGAGTAGCCAGAGGAGTGCACCCGTGGGACCTTGCCCTCACAGATTGGGGGTATCAGGGAACACCCATCTTGAAAATTCACCTCTTCACTCTGCTATATGACATTTAGCCAATAGCCATTGCTTGGAAAATCGCTTTTTATCTATATTTTCATTAAGTTAAAGGCTGACAGTCCTCAAGAGCAGATCATACAGTGTTAACATCATCTGTTATAAGTCCTCTGTAGACCATTTCTTTGGTATGTAAAATGACAATAAATGACAAACTCAGTTCATTTCCATCGGAAGGCTCGAAAGAGGTAGCAAACCTAATTACACAAGACAAAAATGCCCAGCAAATGCAATTGGAATAGTCTGTGTTGGCATGTGTCCAGATGGAGAGCCTGCATTGCGTAGACCAGATCAGGGAGGCTGACCCAAGGGAATCGCACCATCAGCAGAGTTCTGAGCCATAAAAGACTTTGGGAGTAGTAATTTTGTAAGTAGACTTTGAAAAATGTACATGAAGTTTTCTTGAGAAATACTGTATAGGCTATTAAAATGCAAGGATTGGATTTTTAAACAAGAACTATTATAATAGCAGCTTGAAGAATTTTCAGAGTTGTCTGGTATAATATATGGTATTTTTATTGCTAGACATAATTTAGCAGTGGTAATTGTATTTCCTATTTAATGCATTGTTTGATGTTTAATTTCTTCCAGATTTTTTTTTTTTCCCCATTTACATTTCCGACAGTTTTGGACTCAAACTTTGGATGGACTCAAATGGAATAGCTTCAAGATGCATATAGTCAGTTAATATGGAAAATTATGAATTGTAATAAGTAGCCTAGTCTACAAATAAAAGTGGCACATAAGGTGCTGTTTCATTCCCAAGAATAGATTTGAGAAACGGCACAACTTTAAAAAGATTAATGTGAAAGTCTCTGGAATCCTCATCAGAAGCAACAAGTCTATTAAATTTGCAATCCGGCATTAATTTGGTGCCCCAACTCACCAGTGCCACCTGTGAGAGGAAACGTATCATATAATCTAGAGTAAACATCAGTATCATTCTGTATTCTGTATTTTCACGAAGAGAGACTAACCTGAAATGTGCGACTCATGTAATTCTTAAACAGAGCACCTCCAGAGTCACCTATAACATAATTATCAGAACCAAATATTTAAGATACAAAATCATGTATAATAAATTGCTTACCTGTGCATGCTATTTTATCTACAAATTCATGTCGACCTCCAGTGCAGAGAAAGTTATCTGTCACAACCTCTGTCACTGTGATGTTTTGGGGAATCTTAGGATTCGTCTTCGCTTTCATGATGCACCCGAGTCTCTTAGGATCCAGAAGATTTAGATGAATGCGCGAACAACAGCTTCATTACAAGGATAAAAATCATACTTACATCGTCACCTAGCTTCACACGTGCTTGCTTTTCTTGAACTTGATCTTTCTTTCCTTTTGTCAGAAACGTTACTCGTTCTTTGTTCCTTAGAAGAAAATTCTCTGCACAAATACAGTATGAAAAAACACTGAAAAATCACAGCACAGTGACAATTGATACATTTGCAGTGACATCATCCTTGGGGTGTTCTACATGTATTTCTAATGGTAGAATGTTTATGAGTTACCATGGTGATACAATGCACATTTTAACCTGACCCCTTCCTGATGTGTGGTAGTATGTGCGGAGCTGAAGTTCAACTGTGTGTAAAAGTAAACTTGTAATGGACCTCTTCACACATACCCAAACAAGAAACGATAAAATAAATAAATCTTGACAGTTAGCCTGGAGGGTATTCTACGAAGTGAAATAAAGCGAAAGCCTGACTTATTTGGACAATCCAGGCTTATCAAAGTCTCAGTTCAGTACCACCAATGTGACTGACCACATAGCAATCCCACCACTCTTAGCTGCTACTCCGCCCCGACACGTTTTTTTCTGTGGATGTTGTTGCCATTGCCCCACAAAGCACCATGGTCAAAAACCTCGCCCTTCTCCTTCTCACTCCCCTACTTAAAACAAATAAGCTGTACATGTTCTGGCTCCGGTATGACAGCAACTTTAAAACTGCCACATGCTCAATGCTAGCGTCCATGTTTAGGCTACTTCCGTAAACTTCGTCATGTCCTCCAATGCACATATGGGACATTTTTGGGGTATTTAAAGTTCACACTGGAGATCACATACAAATCACATTTAATTGAAAATGTGAACAATCACACAAAAAAATCGAATTTCACAAAAAAATCCAAATTGAGCATTAAGCCCTGCAGTTTGAATGTAGCTTTAGAGTGTGATGATTACCACTACATGTGTAAAGTTATGCACTGTTATAAAATAATAAAGGCAGAACCTGCTTTCTCTCTCCTGCATGTCAAAGCGGCCAGGCATTGCGGCTACCAGCTAAAAATTAAGCATGTCTCTCGTGTGTCTTTGCTATCTTGGTGAGCTATCAGTACACCACATTCCAAATTATTATGCAAATTGTGTTTAAGTGTCATAAAGGTATTTTTTTTTTTGTTTTCCAGTGAAACTCGAGGATGGTATTGTGGCTCTTTGGGTCAGTGAAATGAATCTGAAAAAAAAAACCCTGTGTGACCCTCTACATAGGGTTAACATGGGAATTGCTTTCGCAGCACGTGCTGCGTTCATTGTGAATGTACCTTAATAAAGCCTCACACAAAGCAGAGCCTACAGTTAGCATCACAACCCCAGGAAATGTTGATGACATCAGTTGCAATGTATGAATTGTGTCTGAACAATTGTATGAGTCATAATGCATCTTGCGTCTGGATTTCAACATTTCTTGGTGAGAGATCACCAATCACAGGCCACACACAATTAGTGTTTGTAATCCATATTATAGGCCAGGGGTGTCAAACTCATTTTGGTCCGGGGGCCTTATCCAACCTACAGCCTACCTCCAAAAGGGGCCGGATCACAAAACTCATGGCATATATACCCCAAAAATAGCAATAAGTTCAAATATTTGTGCAGAGAAATTCAAATCTATTACAAAAATCTTTTTTTAATTAATTAACTCTTTCTTTTACAAAATATTATAATATTATTAACAACCTGAAACTCTAAGAAAAAATGCAATTTCAGCACATTGTTTTAACATCGGTGTCCGCTTTTCTCATTTTTGACATTTTGCTGATGAAGGTGTGGTCAACAGTCAAACAATTCTCCTTTAAGAACGTTTGGAAAGTCTTCAATTGTGCTGCTCTGGTGGGAGGCAGCCACGCACAGAGGCGCGGGAGACGCTATGCTAAGTGGCGCAGAAAATTACCAATATTTTAAAAGATAATATAATTAGATAATATAATTTTAATATTTTTGTAGAAAATCTGCCGAGGGCCAGATTAAAGGTCTTAAAGGGCCATATGTTTGACACCCCTGTTATAGGCCAACTTTTGTTGAATTTCCAGACCATCTAAAGAAGCATGTGGCTATGTATCTGCACTTATGTAGCATATTGTGTTACCATGGTTACAGTGTTCTCCAATGGGCCTGTAAAAAAGCATGTGACTTTGTTCAGTTGTTTTCACATTTTAGTCCGACCCCAGTACACACTAGATTTAGTTCTGTTTACTTCACTTTTTGGTTCAGAATGCATGCTACTGTTGGATTCAAAGCTTGGGTGTGAATGCCCTTTTATGTCAACCTAGATAGTGTCAGTGTGAAAACCATCTAAAACACGGTAACAGGGGGGCTTACCTTGCTCTTTGCAGGTTAAATTCTGTCTTAATGCTGTATTAGTCTCAACTGTGCAAGGAATACAGATTGGTCTAAAAAATTTTTTTTGTTTTCATCAGTAAAAGGAAAAAAGAGGGTATTAATTATAAAACCAGATATAGAATTCACACCTCAGTGAAATGGTGATTGGAGCATCTACCACAAGTTCGATGAGAGCCACGTCATAGTCATAAAACTCTGTCACATTTTGGTCAGTTTTAGCATAAAGGTTGTAATTTGGATGTATGTGGATATGATGAGCCTCTGCAACAAAGAGTAAAGCAGTTACAATAGACCACAATCCTCACTATAAAGTAAGCAATGTGTATTTCACTTCATGTTGAACTTGACAGAACTTCTAAATTATTCACTGTATTTGTGTTACATTACCTAATGTAGGGCCATCTGTCCCCTCCACTGTTACACTGCTGTTTTTATTTTTGAAGCAATGGGCTGCTGTTAAAATGAAACGAGGAGAAACCAGAGAGCCAAGGCAATATGATGATTTTCCATCAGTCTAAAATTACAAAGACAAAAACTAATAGCAATGATAATACACTAATTGATTATTAGATATGGACATTTAAAATTACCAATACTGTGATATAAATGACCCAGGGATACTTTTTCCTTATGTCTTTGCCTTCCAGATAGCCATAGTCTTGGTGAAGCCCACATAAGCCCCTTACATCTGACTCATCTGTGTGTGGTAAGAAAACAGTAATGACAATGTAACTTTCTGAAGGTGGAGCACAACAACAACAATAACAGGAGTAAGTTTTATGCCATAATGTGAAGGATCATACCCAAAGGAACAACATTTCCATGAAAACAAGCATGAGGAGACCCTTCTCCGGGCCAAAATATGGTCTATTTTTATCTAAAAAGTTACATACTGTGGCTTTAAATTAAGTAAACAAATTTCTGAAATTAAGTGAGCTGTTGTAACACTTACATTTTGCAACTATGGGATAAATAAAGATACAATCATTATCTTATAATCAGATTTAGTTTTAATATTCTTCTAAAATGTTACACTAGCTGCAAATGTACAGAAGTAAGAGAGGAAACTATTTTTTAATGAATAAATGTGTTTGTTTGGTGTGAGGTTTTGCTACGTTTGATGAAATACGGAGTTAAGACTGTAATTTCAAAACATAATTATAACTTACTCCAAAAATAAATACATACAAATAAATATGGTACTAACCAATTATCTCATCAAAGGTCTGCTGTAAATCTTCCACATTACTGAGTTTGTAATAATGTGAATTGCCTGTTCCAACGGTGAGAGGTTTCAAATTGTCATCGTGAATCTGAGCACCGATGCCAAAAACATAAATGTCTGTATCAAGAAAAGTCAAAATGTAATTTCTCAGCTGCATTTAAACATTATACAATTGTACTGTTATATAGTTAATTATTCAAATTGTATACATTAAATTTAACTTATTAAAGCAGGTCTGAACAAATGGGAATGGGAACAATACCAATTCACTTTCAGTTCTTACTTGGGACTAATATTACCTTGATTTAGTTTTGGTTTAGTTTGTTTAAAGGTAATATTAGTCCCAAGTAAGAACTGAAAGTGAATTGGTATTGTTCCCATTCACATTTGTTCAGACCTGCTTTAATAAGTTCAATTTATACAGTACACAGTTGTACTGTTATATAGTTAATTATTCAAATTGTATACATTCAGGAATTTGACCTGATCCCACATTAGCGTAAGGCTGAGGCCAGGTATCAGGGTTCAGAGCGTCTGGCTGTGAGTGGAGAGACTGCGGAGAATAGTGCTCTTGTTTGTGTGTTTAGTTAGGATCCTGTTCTGGACTATTTTTCACTGTTTGGTGATGTATGTATGTAGGAATAACATAAGTAGATGTTCTGTAAAAATAAGTTTTCTGTCTGCCTTTCCTTTACCGTGTTTCTGCTGTTATTGGCTTAATTGAGGTGTGTGTTCCTTGTGCTTCAATAAGTGTTCTGGTGTTCATTGATGGTTATACAGAGCTGCTCTGTGTCAGAGCCTGTGCTGAAATTAGCTCGCTGTTGGAGTGGCAGCGTGGCTTTCAACATTCATTTCAGTATCTCACAAATCCCTGACTGGCTGGAGGACTTGACGTATGCTCCGCAGGGGAGGTGGGACTTCCTCCTGATATAAGATCATCCCAGCATGTCTTTAGTCTTTCAACTCATCTGACTCTTAAAAGCTTTTACCCTCAGATGGTGAGTGGCTAATGAGATAGCTTATCTGTTCAAAGGGAGAGCAAATCACTCTGCCATTGAACGCTTACCTATTCCACTAATTCTGAGGTAGCAGGTCTGTCCCCAAACAGCTGCTGTATTAGTTCCTTCTTCTAACTTGGAGCTAAAACTTTGCCAAGTTCTCTTCACCATGAGAAGGAAGCACTTATGAAGGCTTGCAAGTATGAACGTAAAATTGCCGGTGCAGACAGTCTGCGCACAGTGCCTTGGGCTGCTGCATGCCTAGGACGCACTAGCATCCCCAGTATCCTATGAGTACTGTGCCTACCTTTCATTGAAAACCCACTGTTGGAGACTCACGCACCAAGTGAACCTGACAGAAGCGGACCCTGTGCTAGGGGCAACAATTCCCACGCCACAAGCAAAAAGAATCCCTGGGTGATCATCCTTTTTTTGATCCTGACGAGCTGATGACCGGACTCGGTGCCGGGCAGTTTAGCCTACAATAGAGCGTCTTTGACTCTGATGACAAGCGCATCAGCCTCCCTTTGGAGGAGAATGAGGCGAATGTGGAGCAATTCACTCTCAACCACGCCGCAAGGCATGGTAGTGGAACCGCATCAGGCAGCGACACAAGATCCGTCTGCCGGGCAGGACTTGCATTAAGTTGTTAGAGAGCAGAACACGAGGTCCCACTGCAACGGCAGAAGGCTACCAGCAGCCAAAACCTTTGCAAAGCAACTCTTGCCAGTGTTCCCAGAGTGCCTGGAGGAAGCCTCTTGGTCCTGCAGCAATCCGCTCACCATCAAAATTCCTGCCCAGGGAGTGGGCTGCTCTCCCCTCCAAATCAGACTGTTTTCAAACTAAGCGAACAGAGAAGAGATACAAAGGAGTTGCTTCCTCAATGAGAGCGTTGCTGCTATTAGCCTACCAGGCAAAACTGCAGGATTACATGTCCTCTTCAATGACATCTGAGGAGTGGGATGACCTGTGCATGGTCACTGATCTCTGCTTCCATCTGCACCGTTCAGGCATGTGGTCGAGCTATGGGTGTGATGGTCACACAGGAGAGGGCCAGATGGCTCAACCTCTTCAGCCTTCCCCAAAGAGACAAGACCCAGCTCCTGGATGTCCCTGTGGACCCAAAGGGCCTGTTCAGGTCCAATGTTGCTGCACTGCAACAACAATGTGAGGATAAGAAGCAAAAAGATGAAGTTCTATGGCTGTCTCTCCAGAAAACAGCTTCCATGTTCATCTGCCTTGCCTTGTGGGTTTGGCCGCTTTGAGGTTAAATTTATCCCCTACGGGTCTTCCAGACAACGTCATTGCCACCATTCAAAGCACCAGAGCTTCCTCTACTCATAGTGCATGGGAAACAGTGCACGTTTGAGGAGTGCTACATAAACATGGGCTGCGATGTTCTACAGAGCCCCATGCCCATCATTTTGACGTTCCTCAAGAGTCTACTGGACAAAGGGCTAGCTTTCTCCTCCATTGAAGCATACTTAACTGCTATTTTGGCTTGTAACATTGGGTTTCGAGATAGTCAGATAGACAGTCAGCTAGCACCATCTTGTCTGTGCAGTTATGAAGGGCACACATAGTGCTGTCATGCGCTAAAAAAAAATTGAGAGATTAATTAATTATGATCTGTAATTAATTAATCTAATTAATCTAATTTTAATCTCACCTAAAAATTGCTGAGAAAAGCCTTCAATTTGAGGTATTTTCATTTAAATTCATTATTACATTATTGTGGCAGATCAAAAGACTGATATAGAACAAAAAAAAGTGACTTGATAAAGTCATTTATTGTTTAACAAATCTCTCCAAACTGGTTGTTGAGCCCAAGTCTCCATGAATAAGAAACTGTTTGCTGTAAAGTAGCAAAGACGAGGAAATCTGAACATAATAACCTTTGTCTACTTAAAGACAATAAAAAGTCCAGTCTTTCCTTAACCATATTAAAAATATTATTGATAGAGAAATGCTTTATATATGAGATCACTGGTTTTAGTCCTTGTTTTAGTCCTGGTTTAGACCTGCTTTAGTCCTACTTTAGTCCTAGTTTAGTCCTGGAATGGATTAATCCTGGTTTTAGTCCTGGTGTTATTTCTGGTTTAGTGCTGGTTTAGTCCTGGTTTAGTCCTGGTTTAGACCTGGTTTAGACCTGGTTTTAGTTCTGGTTTAGTCCCGGTTTAGTCCTGGACTGGATTAGTCCTGGTTTTAGTCTTGGTGTTAGTTCTGGTTTAGAGGCGCACAGGAGGAAGCGCGGTTTACGCAGCGTAGCGAGAAAACACGATCCACACGCGGCTCACTGGAGCACGTCGGTGTCCGCGCAGTAACTACGGAAAGAAACGTGGTCCGCGCGTTCTCAGGTTGATGACGATGATGAAGGTGTGTGTTTGTTTGTGTGTGTGTGTGTGTTTGTGTGCGTGTCCCCTCATGTGGCAGGTCACTATAGGACAGTAGTGCAGACATCATGAGCCTATGCAGGTTGTTTTCACCAGTGACATTTAAGTTGTAGGCGATTTTATATTTGTTATTTTCTTTTATATTTCACGTCGGGAGAATAATTTCCAAGACACGAATGTGTTTTTACCTGTGCACTGCTGACTCTGTTCTACTGGCTCTTCGACCTCGTCCATTGTGCGACTGACGCCGCAAATGTGAACATGATGTTTACGTCGCTCTTACTGCGCGCGTTTTGTGTGGGTTTCCGGCAATGAGTGGGATTACCGAAATAAAAAAATGTATAAATGTGTTTTGTGTGTGTGTGTGTGTGTGTTGTTGTTGTTGCCCCAACAACACATAAAAACAGGTTTTATAATAAAGCAACTCGCATACAGAAACACTAAAGTTAGAGATTAAAAATGAGATTAACGCGATTAAAAAACATAACGCGCTAAATATGACTGTAATTAATTAATCGCAATTAACGCGATAATTTGACACCCCTAGCTTTAGATCAGTTTCAAAGAGCCTGGTTGCTCCATGGGATTTGACAATAGTGCTGAATGCTCTGACTCTCCCCCTATTCGAACCGCTGCATCAGGTGGAGCTGAAATGGCTCTCCTTTAAGTCGGCTTTGCTGCTGGCTTTAGTGTCTGCAAAGCTTGTGAATGACGTCCATGCGGTGTCTGTCAACACATCATGCTTGCAGTTTTTGAGGGGGAATTCTAAGGTTTTACCCTGCCTTTATGTCAAAAGTCTTTAATCCAACTTTATTATGCCTCCCCATTGAGCTGTCTGTAGTCTTTCCTCTGTCTACTTCAGAGGATCATCAGCGGCTCTATGTGCTCTCCAGTGTGCGCCCTGTGCATTTATATGGACAGGAGTGCTTCATTTCGGGGAACTGAGCAGTTGTTTGTGTCTTGGGCTCCACCTCATCGGGCTAAGCTTCTCACCATAAACAGTGTTTGTCCCACTGAATAGTGGAAGCTATTACTGCAACTTATGACAGCAGTGGGCTGCATCTTGGGCAATGTTCCAAGGCACCTCAGTGGAAAAGATCTCTGTGGAAGCAAGCAGGGCTACACCTCACACCTTTGCCAGGTTTTACAGACTGGATGTCACTGTACCCTCACTATCTTTCACCAGATTGCTGTTCTTGCCTTGAGCTCGAAGAGTGTGCTTACTTAGGCTAAAATGGAGATGTGCCAGGATATGATCTTATAGCAGGAGGAAGTCCCAACTCCCTTGTAGAGCATATGTCACATCTTTCAGACAATCAAAGACTGGTGTAGTGTTATAAGGCTTCTGGGTCAGCAGCCTGGAGAGCTGTCCCATATATGAGATACTTCACTCATGTTTCAGAGAACTGGGGTTCATTTCTTAACCTTATAATTGTAAAGTTTGATATATAGTTTATGTAATATACATTTTTATTCCTTTGTTTTGTGTAGAACCACACTTCTGCCATTCCTGTGGATTGTTAATAAATGTCATCATTCAAGCTCAAGTTTTTTGCAAATCTACATTGGCTTAAGGGACCTTATTCAGTATATTCAGGGACCATGCTTTTGAATGTAAACAAAGCCTGAAAACGACTTATTTAAGCTAATTGGGTTTTATGGCTATTAAGCTCTGTTTGAGTTTTCTTCTTTGAAAGGAGCTAAATAAATAAACTTGACTTTCTTCCTTAGAATTTTTTAATGTACTTACCAAGGTGTTCCTGTCTTGTCTGTGGTTGCTCCATATAAACCAGTGACTTAATTTTTTCAACCGATGGAGCACCTCCGGTATTATAACCACCTGTAATCAAGTCATAAATCATGCCACAATGATATTTCTTATTATAATAGTTATATAATATTATTAAAATACATTACCATCTGTGAACAAAATGATTACATGCTTATGTTCAGTAAAGTCTGAGGTCCGTCTCTTGATAACAGACATTTTTTCCAAAATTTTTCCAAAAACTGCATTGAGATTGGTTCCAACCTTGTCTGTTTCTTTAAAACAATCCACCATACATCAGTTCCAGTTTCTCATCATCATAGGAAACTGTGTGTGTTTCCTCTGACTTACCTTCTAGTTTATACTTTTCAAGCTCCTTCAATAATTTCTCCATTGATGGTTTGTTAGTCCCATAGAAATCAAGAATGTTAATAGCTGTGTGGATCTTGGAGGAGAAGAAAATAACTTCATAGTTTGGATACACAGAGAAGACTTCGATCTATGGACAAAAACATCACATTAGAATGACATAGCTATAGTTACACAAACAATAGCAGATACATGTTATAACACTATATTTCCATCACAAGCACCTTGTTAATGTTGCTGTGATTTTGTCATTAGTTTCTCAATATTTGTGGCAAATGGTGCATGGAGTCAAAAGGCAGTGTACGTACAGTTTTTGGTTTACCTTACGAATAAGCGTTATTATTGCTTCTTTGGCACTTTCGAAATGATCCTCATCGATGCTCTCAGAGACATCCAATGCAATGAAAATATTCAGTGTCCCTTCTCGTCTTAATGTGAGTGACAGGCCTTTTTGTGTTTCATCTGAGAAAACCAAATCACAGTGGGATGCACATACTTGTTTAATGGCAGTTTTGATATTTAAATAATGATAATACTTACTAACTAAATTTGAGGTAAGGGAATTTTTTATCCCGCCACCAAATGCCTCTGTAACTTCCCACGGTGAATCATATGTATATTTGTCTGCCAAAAACATACATATTAAAAATCTAATAATAATATGAAGCAAGTTATCTATCAAGAAACATGTGAATTTTAGTATTGACTGATGAAGTACAGATCTTACAGTAGCAGGCTGTCTCTCTTCCACTCCACTGGCCATCTATCTGACACTCTCTTTCCTCTGAGCCAATCAAAATCATGTTGCTTCTGCATTTGAAAATCACTTTATCTCCAATTTCAAAGCTGTTTCCGAACCTCATGCCACCAGGTGGGACACCAGGATCAGCACAATCTCCTGCTGCAAAATGTTATGGAGGGTTCATATTAAGAATAATATAAAGGGAAATAATGACAATGACACTTACAGTCTTGTCGACAAACTGGATTTGGCCCACTCCATTTCCCATTTACCAAACACGTGCGCCGGAAAGGACCATGTAAAGTGTATCCCGAGTAGCAGTGATAAGTAATTTTGCTTTTATAATAATACTTATTTTTTTCATTTATTGGCAAAGTATGTCCATTTTGGAGAACCGTTGGATCTGGGCATTCAACCTCTTGAAAAAACAAAGCCCATGAGTAAAATAAAGCAAAGCAATCCACTGATATTGTGTTTAAGGGATGTAACAAAATGTAATTAACCAAAGTACTTAAATGTATACAGATTTGATTATACTTTAACAGATATCGTGAATTGCTAGCCATACAACTTTGTTCTTTACTCACTTTTGCATCTTGGTTTTGATTCTGGTTCAGGAGTCCACTGGTGGTTTAGTTGACATCTATAGGAAAGTTCAGGATAGGCGTAGTAGCCCGTGGGACACTGGTATTGGAGAATGCTGCCCACATTTAGTCCATTTGTCAAACTGAAATTAGTACCTCGAATCGTCATCCCATTCATTGAGCAGTTGCACCAAACTACATCTCCTAAGCACAGTACAGATATTGTAACAAAATGATGGACTCTGTTAATATTAGGCCAAGTTTGGTATTCGCCTCTTTGGAATACAGACTACTTTGAGCCCTTGACTTTCATACACTGACCACTGCAGACCAAAAAATAACCCTAATAGTTTCAGAAGAAGCTGTGACAGTTTTCTAGCAATTAGTGTAGATAATAGACACGAATTCTAATCTTTTTAATTAAACTTGATACATCTGATTGTCCATTGTAACTGTAGAAACGTACCTTTTAAAAGAATGCATAAAACTGCCACAAAACAAGTCCGGTGAATAAAAAATAACATTCTGATCTTTTACTGTTAATATCCTTGTGTCTCAGGATGAACTGTGATAGTAAAAGTTAAAACAAATGAAGTCCTCCCACTTGATTACTTATTAACTAAACTACAAACAAATATAAATCAATGAGGCTTCTTAATACAACACTGACTACTGTGCAATTTAAAGTTCTAGTTATCCAACCCCATGTCTATTTGCTACCAGTAAAGGATTGGCAACACTCCCACTGAACCCCAAGCCATTCCAGACTCCATAACTGAATGTGGTGGGTCTTATGAATTATGTCAAGGCCTCTAAACTAAATTAGAATATATAAAAAACAAATTATTCATAATAAAATTACGAGACAGTTATTCTATCTGAAGACATATTAACAATACTCCAGTGGTAATCAGGATTGAAAAATCTAGATTTCTTAATTTCTACTAACATTGGACACAATATGGTTAGTGCACACCAATGCTCAGGTGAGGGCCCTGGAAAATAAAAAAGGCCTAGTACTTTTAAACAGTGATTTTACCTCTTGGAATTGCATGTGATTGTGTTACATCTAAATACACTGTGTAACTGAGTATATTTGGCCTCACAATGTCTTAAAAATGACAAGATTTTCTTCAAAAACTTAACATATGTTTTAATTAAAAAGGCATTGCAGCATCAATACATACATTAACATAAATGCTCTAACTGCAGAGAAAAAAAATCTACATGATTGTTAATTTTAAAATGAACAAATATAACTTCATTTGGAGTAATTTGAGAAAATGCTTGCTAGTCCACAAATTCAATTGGTGCATAATTCTGATCTGGTTTGCCAAGAATGGATTTAAGAAAAGGTACAGCTTTGAACAGATTAAAATGAAAATCTCTTGAATCTTTGTCTGAGTCCACCATTCCATCCTGATTACATCTGGCCATGACCTTATTTCCCCAACTGACCAAGGCGACCTAAATAAAACATTTGGTTACTTGTGATAATATTTGTTCCATTTGGTTTACTTACTGTTAAAAGAAATACTCACTTGTATTGTCCGATTTAAGTGATTTTTAAACACAGCGCCTCCAGAGTCACCTAAAATAAATATGTATTACATGGTCAAAAATACTTTAACTGTGTACTTTATTATTGTCATTTTCTTTGCATTGATTTACCTCTGCATGCTATTTTGTCTACAGCTGGAAATTCCCCTCCGCTGCACAAGAAGTTTTCGGTCACAGCCTCAGTCACGTTGTTGGTTTTGATGCCGGGTGCCATGAGTGCTTTAACTATGCAGGAGTCCCTCTACAAAAATAAGTTACACTACATTTAAGTGACAACAGTACAAAAGCTGTTGAGTAATTAAAACAAAAAACAAAACAAAAAAAACATACATACATTATTACCAAGCTTTATGTGGGCATATTTTTCCCCAAGATTTTTCTTAGTCAAAAAGTTAATTCTTTCATTGTTTGTTATCAGCAACTGTTCTATATTTAATGAGAAAATATAACATATATATAAAACACAGAAAATTAAGGTGAACATAAACTGAACATTACAAGGAAATAAGGATTAAGTAGGCCTATATAAATGTTTTATTCTTGTGTGAGGACACATGCCTTGCTGCTCACAAGTTAAAGTTTGTCTTAATGCACCATTTGTTTCCTCAGTGCATGGCAGGCAAATTGGTCTGAAAATAAAAGTTACAATTTATTAAGATCTGTTATTTCAAAACCATTTGACTCCTTTTTAAATTATATTAACAATCCATGTCACTCTCCACAATTAAGAGACAAATGATGGCTAACCTCAATTTCACAGAGATGCCAACATCTTTTTGGAGTTCGACGAGAGCCACATCATAATCATAAAACTCCTCAATGTCCTGATGCTTTTTGGCTGATATATTATATTTTGGATGCATGTGGATTCTTGCAACATCTGTAAGAGTCAAGGCATTTCATTGAAATGCAAATGCAATGCAAATGTGTACATATTATATTATTTATACCTAGCTGCTGGCCATCTTTTATTTCCACTTTGATTTTTTCTATTAAATTATCAACTGTGAAACAATGAGCTGCTGTCAATACAAAACGAGGAGAAACCAAGGAGCCCAAGCAATATGATGTCTTCTCATTGGTCTAAAATGAAATTAAACATTGTATAAGGTAATGTAAACATTTGTAATAATAATCATATGAATAATAGGTAATAGTAAATTAAATATGAAAGAACAAAGTAAAAGTAAAAAGTAATTAATTCACCATAACAGAAACAAACATGACCCAGGGATATTTCTTCCTTTTTGTCTCAAGATTATACATATCGCCATGTTCTCTATGGAGACCGCATAAGCCTATTATGTCTTCTTCATCTGCAACATTCAAAATTAAACCATTATGGAAAACATTTCATAATTGTGTTCTACAAATAAACTTATCTAAGCATGTGTCTGCCCTAGCATTATTCTTTACGTCTAATAGTTATAAAATATTGAATAAATTATACTCAGACATGGACATATTCTCACTTATAATCTCATTAAAGATTTCATGCAGTTCTTCCTCATTTTTTAATCTGAAGTAATGCCGCTGTTTTTCTGGCCCAACTGTGAGTTTCATCAGGTTGGCATCATAAATTTGCGCTCCAATGCCAAAAATATAAATATCTGAAACAAATAATACAGATATATACACAAATATTGTGCTAAACAACAACATTATTAATAAAACAGTAACATTTTAAACTTACCAAGATGTTCTGCTCTTTTCTCTGGTTGGCCCATTAAAATGTCAGCCTTAATACCTTCAACAGTTCTAAGGGGTTTGCCTCCCATGTTATATCCGCCTGTTAATTGTACAAATAAAGCACAGAAAACATTTGGAGCAGAGGCATAGATATAAGAGAAAATATGCATTTGCATTACCATCTGTAAACACAATGATGACATGCTGATGCTCTATAAAGTTAGGTTGTCGTTGTTTAATAATGGCCATTTTCTCCCGAATTTTCTCAAAGACCGCATTGAGATTAGTTCCAGCTTGGTTGCTTCCTTTTAGAACACACACACACACAGTTAAACACTACAAAAACATAAAAAGAAAGAACTTGTAATCCACATGACTTACTTTGAATCTTGAATGTTTTCAACTGTTGTACCATATCGGCCAAAATTGTATTGGACTTTTTATTTTTATCAAAAAAGGACAAGATATTTACAATTTCAATGGGTTTTGAGGAGAAGAAGATGATGTCATAATTAGGAGTCACTGAAAAGGATGCAATCTGTGAATTAAAAAAGATAAGTGCAAAATATTTTGTTAATGCACGTTACATTATTTTGGCTCACTCAAAGTGCTTTTGTGCACGATAATCAATGTATTTGCCAAGAAACACTGGCATCAAAAACAGGCCGTGGATAGCAGCCAAGCACAACTAATATATGCAGCCTAAGTGGTTTCCATTATAATGCAGTCCTACTGTACTAATCTTACTTGGCAATTATTATTTAACAACAAAATTAACTAGGACCTCACGATGTGCAAGTCACATTTGAACAAACTATGGTATTGATTAAATGCCCAGTCTAAATCATTTACAGATTACGGCTCCCCCAACAGCAAAAAAATTATGACTGCTAGCACAAAATAGGAAATATCAACTTATGCAGCATGAAGACATGACTTATTATTGACACAAACCAGGCATAGGACCAACAGAGTAATACAGAACAGTGGGGCGCCAGATGCAAAAACTGTTGTTGTGTCCTTAGGCAAGACACTTGACCCACATTGCCTAGTATGAAAGTGGTGTATGTGTGAGTGATGTTGGTGGTTGGAGGGACAGATGGTGCCGATTGGCATGGCAGCCACGCTTCTGTCAGTCTGTCCCAGGGCAGCTGTGGCTACAATAATAGCTTACCATCACCAGGTATAGAGTGAATGAATAATACTGAATAATGCTCTGTAAAGCGTCTTTGTGACATGTCTGTGAAAAGCGATATATAAATAAAGACTTACTTACTTAATTACTTACTTACAGAAAGGAAGGATATGGCATCTTATTTAGATTAACCATAAAATGTGTTTGTGTTCTTTGTTTAATGTGTATTACTTACCGCGTTAATAAGCGCTAATACAGCTTTTCTGGAATTTTCAAAGTGTTCTGAACTGATGCTCGAAGAGATGTCCAATGCAATGTAGATGTTGAGTGTCCCATTTTTGGTTAACTTGATTGATCTCCCTTCCTGTGTAACATCTGAAAATAAAATCAAAACATAATTGGGTGAGTAAAACAAGAGTTAGTGAATTCATTGCAAGAATACTTTCTATCAATACTTACTTATTTCGGCCTGTAAAGATGCAAAAGTGTTTTTGATTCCACTACCAAATTCATGTGAAACTTCGAGAGGGGTGTCATAGGTGTATTGGTCTGCAAGAAGAAAATTCTGCTTTAGAGGTTAAAAGCTGGACTTTGATAAGAATTAGAATAGAGATAGTAATCTATTAGCAAAAATGTCCAAATGCAGATATTAAAAAATAAACAATATTTGAGAAAGACTGATATAGGTAGATGCAGAGCATCAACTAAAAGTACAGCTCTTGAGGAGGGATTTGGTCTGCAGTCTTACAATATTAATACCCCTTTTTTGACAATAGAATGTAAGTGTAAGTTATTTATTTATTGTTACTAGTTAGGATGTAGAGCAAGACCATCCCTATGTGATTTTTTTTCAGTATCAATACCTCAGAGTATCTACTACAGTAACAAGTTTTAATATTGACCAGTATTTGGGTATTGCTTTCTTTGACAACCTCTGCTTGACTGTGCAGTTCTTACAGTAGCATGTTGGCTCTTTGCCGCTCCAGAGACCATCTTCCTGGCAGACTCTTTCCTCTGAGCCAATCAAGATCATTTTGTTGTCATTGCACGTGTAAGTCACTTTCTCTCCTATATCAAACAGGGTACCAGTCTTAGACCCACCCGGGGGGATTCCAGGATCAGGGCAATGGTCTCCAGCTGAAATCACGTTTACAGGTACAGCACACAAAAATAAAGAAGCATAAAAGGACCCTGAGTAAATTTACATACAGTCGCGACGGCACACAGGATGTGAACCACTCCATTTCCCAGTCTCCAAACAAGTGCGATGTGAGGGGCCAAACAGTTTAAAGCCCTCATAGCACTCGTATCTGATCTCATTTTGATAAATGTATCGTTCTTCACTGGGCCAGACATTGGCATTTTCCACAACAGTTGGATCTGGGCATTGCACCGCTATCAAACCAAGACAATGTGTATTATAATGTATTATTTAATTAAGATCAGAGTCATCATGTTACTCACGTCTACATTTCGATCTTCTAGGTGCAGGTTCCCATACGCCATTGTGGCTACAAACACGCACCAAGTGAGGATATGGGTAGTATCCTTCTTGGTCGCATTGGTATTTGAGTAAGCTGCCTTCTGCAAACTCGTTTGACAATGTGTAAGTTCCTCCTTCAATTTCTAAATTTTCTTCTCTGCAAAGACACCAAACGAGGCCTAAAACACAATAAATGTAGAAACAGAAATGTGAACACCTATTTTTCATCATATCCATATTTTGGTTGATGTTTGATTAATAACTTAAGTAACAATGAAATACAATCTGCTTAAAAAAATGAACTAAACTAAATTGAAATCACAAAATGTGTTAAACTTGCTTACCTTGATTGAAGAGACAAAAAAGTGCAAACCAGCCCCAGAAAACAGTAAATGCCATTTTGAATACTTCTGTTTCAAACAATGCTTTCAGATTTTAGCATTGCTTTCCATGCACCACTAAATAAGCTCCAATACTGAAAGTGATGAGAATTTTAGGTAACACTGTTACTGATTAACTGTATCACAAATAAAAAAGAAAAAAATCAATACAGAAATCAGAGCACAGGGGTTTTTCCCGAACCCGAATTTGTGAAACTGAGTAGAATGATGTGTTATAAAAATATTCAAAATAATAAACAGCTTAATTTTTGTGATGTTTTGTAACCCCCAAAAATCCAGTGGCAATGCAGCAATGATGTCTTTTCCCGCAATCTGTACTCTCAAAGCCAATAATAAAACACTTGATTGTGCAACTAAAACCAAAAACAAACTATTGCTTCATCGTTTCCCAAAAGCCAGTCACACAATTTGGCCTTCGCTATTGACAAACTGATTTGGTCATTGATAAAGCTGTCTCGACATACTGATGTGGGTGATGCAGTGAATACATTTCTCCATTTACTTACAGAGAATTGATTGAGTCACTTATTGATATCCTTTTGCATAAAATGTGTTGATGGCTCACTTTTAAACCACTGCAGGAAACCAATTATCACATCATTTATGGAGCAGACCGGCCTAAAATATCAAACATGCCTATAAGCAATTCATGATCTCTTTGACCTTTTGTAACATTCACACATTCACAGCTTAGCAAATGACTGTCCATCTTGATTTATGAACAGTCTCTATTCAATATGCTTTTATCTGTGCCGTTAAATGTTCATAATTGACTTAAAGATTTGATACTGAACCAGGCAATGACATAATAATGCCTAGGGGAATGATAATTCTTTGATGAATGCTGCATTTTTACATGACATGGCAGATTTTGTACCAGTTTATGAAAAGTACAATATTGTAAAAGTCAGGAGTCATGTGACTGGGTTTCTGTCTTTGAATACGTCTAAGTTATTATCACCTTAATTTAATAGAGGAATGTAGAATCATGCAATAATAATAATTATAATACTTTCCATTTATATAGCACTTTCAAGAGAGACAGTAGTTATCCTACTTGAACTGTTTTGTAAAGCCTTTACACAATTCTTATATTTAGTCCATATTAAATTATAAAGTGATATATGTGTGTTTTTGTGGTTAGTTAATAGTTACCTAAAATGAAGTTGGCGTTGATTGTTGAGAAACATTCTGGTCTTGAATTGCCGGTGTTAGGGCATAACAGGCCTGAAAACCACCGCTAATACAAAGCACCACATGATGGCGCTAAAGCGCTATGTTCAACAGGAAGAAAGGAAAAAAACGAGACGGAAGTTGACAAAACATTATGACAACACCCCGCCAAATTTCCAGCACTGGATTTAAGCACTGGATTACTGCTGGTTAAATTGAATAAAAAGAGTGATTTTTGTTTAGGAAACACTGCTGGCATCCGAGTGTTCAGGTACGATTGTACACATAGTAGATAAACACATTTTGGTTACTTCACCAGTGTGAACGTAGACTTGAAATAGCTGAATTGTGAATTTGGAGTACAGAAGTTACATTATTTTTCTCATCTGCAGCATGGCCGTACCTTTTGTGCAAGACTGGGACGTTGTTCAGACTCTTGGAGAAGGAGCTTATGGAGAGTAGGTTACTTTTATTTATTACATTTAAGCAAGAAACGTGAACTCCAGCCTCACTGTCTTGCCACTGTAATGGTTGTATACATTTTTTGTGTTATGTTTGTGCATCTGTTAATTTGTGCTTTTGTTCTGTCTTTAGAGTCAGGTTACTGGTGAATAGACAGACGGAGGAGGCTGTTGCAGTGAAAGTGATTGATACTAGTCAATCTAAAGAGTGTGCTGAAAATGTCAAGAAAGAAATCTGTGTGCATAAGGTCAGTGATAAGTTCCACACTATTATTATCTATTAGACATGCGTTTTTGCAATACATTACATACATACTGATTTGTTTAAACTTAATATGTTTCTTCTGTTTTTTAAGTCTCTCAATCACCAAAACATTGTGCGCTTCTATGGCCAGCGGCATGAAGGGACCATCACATACCTGTTCCTCGAGTACTGCTCGGGTGGAGAGCTTTTTGACCGTATAGGTGGGCTGCTTCTTTTTGAAAATTACATGAAAGCCACACTTTTAAACATTGCCTCAAAATAGGGCTGGACAATTAATAAAATCAGTTCGTTTTCTTAATAATAAGATTATTGATTAAAAATCGTGATTGCAAAATCGTGATGAATCAGTTGTACTCCTAATTTTCTTACTTGCAAAATAGGGTTATAGATTAAAATTAGATTACATATTTATACAAATGTAATCGAAGACAATTTCTTAATTAATAGGATAAAAATGAGAACTTAAACAGCTTCCCCTGTTTGAAAGACATGCAGTCCCTGCTCTGATTAAAATTGTAATTGTCCAGCGTTAGCAAAAAATAAAAACTGATTTGATTTTTTTTAGCCAAATCTCCCATCCCTAATTTAAAATGTATCTGAGTAAATTGGTCAATTTGTATTTGATATTTTAAAGATGTCATTGAACAATACTTTTTTCAGTCAAACAAAGATTTTAGCTGCTTAATTTACTGTTTAAAATAGAGCCTGATGTTGGAATGCCAGAAAAAGATGCCCATCACTTTTTCAAACAGCTTATAGGAGCTGTGGTAAGAAGACATTTACACTTAAGTACTGATTCTGACCGTTATTTTTTCTCCTATTAATGTTTTAATTTACTTTTGCAGGAGTACCTTCACAGCATCGGCATAACTCACAGAGACATCAAACCTGAGAATATTCTGCTTGACGACAAAGGTAAGTTACAACCATATCCAAATAATCAAATGCTAACATGAACTGACCGTATTACGCTTGTTCTCAGATAACCTGAAGCTAACAGATTTTGGCTTAGCAACACTCTTTCGCTTCAAAGGACGAGAGCGTCTATTGTCCCGTATCTGTGGGACATTGCCCTATGTGGCTCCTGAGCTTTTAAGCCAAACAGAGTTTAGAGCTCAACCAGCCGACATCTGGGCTTGTGGCATAGTGCTCACAGCTATGTTGGCTGGAGGTAGGAACCTTTACTCTTTAGAATTTTGTAAAACGTATTTAAATGAAATTACTTGTAACATTCGTTTTAATTAATGATAATTTATTTTAGAGTTGCCTTGGGATCAACCAAGTGAAAGCTGTCAAGAGTACTCAGATTGGTTACAAAAGAAGACCTACTTACCTCCTTGGAAAAAAATCCAACCCATGCTTCTTGGTAAGCTACTGTATTGCTAACATTTAAAAATTGGACCAAATCTAAGACAATAACACACATTTTTTGTTAACTCTTGTACATTGACACCATAGACTGTATATATAAATGGGCATAATTAACCTGCTAGATGCCGCATGGTGGCGCTTCCGGCTCCATTGACTCTGGGTCCAAATTACTTTACATTGAAAAATTGTCACCCTCTCTTTGTAACTCCTGCTGTGAGCCTCATCATTTTGGTCTTAAAATTATTGTATAAACTGGCTCAATATGATCCTGATGTTTTTATTTTTTTTTTATTTTTTTCTGGTAATAAATTCCTTATATAATTACTAATATTTAACTATAACTGCCAGCCTCATGAGCTTCATTTGACTGGAGTCGAACGCTATTGGTGTGTCACACTCCCTTAGTCCACTTCTTTATTCAGTCTATGATTGACACTTATGTCATCTACAGCCTTAATCAACAAATTAATTTTCTGTTTTGAGGTTTATTGTCTAAGCTGCTCCTACCAGACCCTGATAAGAGGATTAGCATTTCTGACATTAAAAATGACCGCTGGTTTACTCAAGGCAAGTTTTGCTTGAATACAAAAGTATGACTTGATCACACATTATGTAATGTATAACTTATATTATCTTGTCTTTGTAGGTGTTAAACCACCACCACCAGGAAGCAAGCACCTTCGCACTGATCCTGTACTGTCGCGAACCAATAGGTGATATTAATTATTGGTGTTTGTTTATTAAATCCTTAGTAGCCATTGTCTTGAATTATTATTATTCCTTTCTTCTTTCTATAGTGATGACCGAATGCAGTTCTCCAGCTCTCAGCCTGATTTTGCCCCGGGAAGTTTTGAGAATGCATTTAACGGCCCAAGTGATGGTCTGCTCAGCTTCTCTCAGCCTATCAGACCAGAACACATGCTCCTCGGAAGTCAACTTGTGGGCACACCTGGGGCCAGTCAGGTAATTTATGTCCTTGAATAATTATTATTTATGTTTTTTTGTTGTTGTCCTTTTTTTTTTCTTTTTTTTAAACCTATGTTTGTACTTTTTGTTTTGAAGAATCCTTGGCAGAGATTGGTGCGGAGAATGACACGGTTTTTCACTAATGTTGATGCTGATGCCTCTCTGTGTGCCCTCAAAGATATCAGTGTTAATTTAGCTATTACCTTCAAAATCAACTGCACCAAACAGGTAAAATTGCCTTACAAATAGCAAATGCTGTAAGATGTTTGTTTGTTTGTTTTATTCCATTTTAAGAAATGTTTTATTTTTTAGGTGACGTTAAGTACGCTTGATAAACGTAACAACAAATTAATTTTTAAAGTTCATGTGTTAGAGATGTATCACAAGGTGCTGCTGGACTTCAGGCTGTCTAAGGCAAGTCTTACATGTATTTACAGCATTACAAGTTGTCAGAATTTATGCATTTTCAAAATGTAACCAAGCATATAGGTTACTTGTTGTATATTTTAACATTCAGGGGCTTTATTCCCCTCTACTTCTACTATACATAGTACTGCCCTTCACATACACATGTATGATATATATACTTGCACTCAGTGAGGCCTCCCATACATTTTTGTTAAGCATGGTGTAAAAACAATGAAATTAATTTTGTTCAATTTTTTTTTCCTCAGGGAGATGGTCTTGAGTTCAAGCGTCTCTTTGTTAAGATAAAACAGAAACTTGGTGACATCATCAGCACCCAGAAGGTGTTGTTACCACTCAACTGACCTCCTCCCCTCTGGTAGTTTACAGTGAAGCTCACACACTTTGGACTGACAAACTTGTAAATATTTAGGTGTTCACTTTTTATTGTTCTGGTCTTTGCCCCACCTTTGTGTTTCTGAAAATAATGTGAATTTTCCTAAATGTTAATTATGTTTAGGTTTGAATATAACTTACCAAACGGTCCATATTTTAGTGTTTTGTTCACGTAGCTTCGTTTGTTTGTTTGACATGATATAGCTCATTGTTTTTGAATAAATTATTACTTTTAAAGATCTTTTGACTCTTTCCACAACAATCAGGACAGTTGTTTTTTTTATGAACTTAGTTTCCCATTAGAAATAATTATTCTTAAAAGAACAAAGTTTATTGACCAAAATTGCATAAATGATTAAAGGAATAAAGTAACAAAAATGATTTAGAAGGAACCATGCCATAGTGTAAGTTGAATTACAGCAGTTAAAAGTGTGGTATTTTAAATTGACTTAAGTTTGATAACAATTAACTAGTTAAAAAATGTGAAAAACTTTTTGTGGCAGGCGGCCTGGAGAGAATTATGTAGCTTTGACAGTGATGGTGACATTGACTGGTTCGTTGCCATCATCAAAGGCCGGGTCAGAGGGCGGTTGGCCGGTGCTGGGAGTGGCACTCTGGGAGGGGACAGTGAGGGGTGAAGCTGCACGGGGCAAAGCCATTGTAGGACCTGCAGTTCAGATTTAGGCATATCAGCATCTAATACTCATACACATGCAGGATACAGAGAAAGCCATATTGATCTGTATTTTTTTTTTTACATGTTTTAAAATGTATAATTAAACTAATGTGTATTAATGAATGTACAATGATGTATGATTATTATCGCTAGCAAAATTGTGCAGATTTTAGTAGTATCTATCAATATAAGTATTTCATAAAATTAACAACTAAGATCAACATAACAATTACATAATTTGCCTTACCTGAACTTGATAATCCACCAATATCCTCTATTCCCCCTGCAGATCCCATCACCTCATCTTCTGGAAAGTTGATGTTTTCTCTTGACTGGCTATGTTGTCTGAAAGAGAAAAACAATAAACACATTTTAGTATTTTGAAATGACTGTGCCGAAACATAGTATTTACATAGAGTATGCTTACCTGCCAAACAACAGGTCATGTAGCCCTGTTGAAAGAAAAGCAAACACATTGAAGTTTACTAATGAATTTGAAATAGCAGGGCTATGACAAAATGAATATTTAGATATAACATAACATTTAATTTGGTCATACTGTATACTTGTCATGAAGTGCTCTATATATAAGTATACTGCTATGAATTTATTTTGTAGTATTTGCTGTACTACTTCTTAAATAACTTTCACAATAAGATTGCTCAACGGTGGTTTTGCAAAATAATACTATAAGGCATACTGCGCAACTTTTATGGTGGAGGAATGCTTGTGTCCTTGGTGATGTTCTATTCTAGAATGATCCACAGTATGGGATTAAATTTGTCTATCTTCATGGAGATGCATAAGGCCAAGTTACAGATCAGATCTCTGGAGAGGGGTTCCCAGTAAAATGTTTCTCGAGATCAGTGGTTCCCATAGTAGGTTCTGAGGATTTGGGAGGCATCTGAAGCTGCAGAGGGGCCCCAAAGATTGTCCACACAATCAAAAAATTGTGTTTTGTTCACTGTATGTAAAACTCACGTGGGTTGTTGTTGCGGTTGCGGATGATGTACATGAGCAGCAGTGCTGTGAGAATCGCTGCGAAAAGCATCCCACCGATGGCCGCGCCGATGATCGCCGGTAACGAGTTTTGACGAGGTTCCGCTGCAACACACCACAGTTACTCATTGGGATAGAGGCTTAAATGGTTCTTAATTAACATTACTCTATGAAGAACTATTAACTAACCACTATGGTTTTCACCCCATGCAAGTTTTGAGTATAAAGTCATTGTAATTGGTGTAAACAACATACCAATATAAGAGTAGGCCTACTTACTATAGTCATTGGTGATGTTGCCTACATAATTTCTGACTGTTACAACTAGTAACTGCAGTGCAGAAGCTACTAGTTGCTGGCATGGGCTGAGCACTTTTATCTAATGTTACATGTATATGTATGTAATTTTCACACCAACAGGACAGTCAGAGAAGAAATAGTAGAGGAAAAGAGAATGTGTGTATCTTTGTGGATGTAGTGAATTGTGTTTTCTTTCACCTGAGTGGAAGAAGAAAAACTGTTATTCTCTCAGAAAAACAGAACAATATTAACATTTTTCCTTTTTCAATTACAGGTTCACCAAACTAATGTGTTTTTGTTCAGACTTTTCAAGACCTTACCTGGAGATTTTGGTGCAGATGGGTGTCCCAGGGTGCGATGGTTGATGGAGGTGATTCTAAACTGGTAGGTGATAGTTGGGGTGAGGCTCCCGAGCGTGTGTGTCCGCTGGTCTGGGTCCTGGATGATGCTACTGTACCAGATAGATGCAATCTTCTCTGGATGTAGCACTATGATTGATTCGTTTTTGCCTCCTCTCCTGCCAGGCTTTTCAAACATCCACGAATACTCCAATATGAAACCTGTCCAGCCTCCTTTGTACTCTTCTTCATTGTGCACCTGCCACTTCCAGATCCACTTGGTTTCTCTGAGGGCTGTTGTACACAACACTGACCAGAGACGCATTGGGGGGCATGGGGTGTCCTGACCAAACATGTAAACCAGTAAATGTTAGTTCAAAATAGTCTGATCTTGAATGTTCTTTTACCCCGTCTAATCCTGAATTTGTTTCAAGGGGGAAATGCTATGTTTATGGCTTGCACTTTCAGACTTTTACTATTTTATCTATTCTATTTTTGTTATGTATAATTCTGTTTTTTGTCACTGTAGTATTATTTATTAGACACCTAAAAAACACTACAGAATAGATGAATTCTACTAAAACTTGGTCATTTTGATAATTGGTCCTAATGATATGTCCAATTTTAATGTTTACTGCCTCAGCAAGTGTCCTACAATTATAATCATAATCCAGTACTCACTTTTGACCACTAAAGTGACATTGATTTCTGTTCCTCCAACAGCATTAGAAGTGGTGCAGCGGTATTGGCCACTGTCCTGGATCTCATCTGTGTCCCGGACAGTGAGGTTGGCCCAGGCAGAGGAGCGCAACAGCAGGTACTTAGAGGTGTCCATCACGCCCACACCTCGATTATTGAACCAAGTGATTTCGTTTGAAGGTAGATTATTGTCCATCAAACTACATGTAAGCTGAACATCAGTGCCTTCGAACACTGTCACTGTCCTGCGCTGTGTTTGGAGCACTGGAGGCTCTGCAAAGTTAGAAAGGCAATGTACAATTTGCATATGAATAACAACATTTTCAATTAAGCACATATAACCACAAGCTCTTTAAAGTGCTAAAAAGATGTATACAATTAAGCTAAATATTAAAAATAAATTGTCCTATTATTACAACATATTGTCTTTGTATAGTTTAAAGTAACTTCACACTTACCAAGTGGAACAGTGCAGGTCTTAGTCTTTGCCACTAGGGGGTGTCTTGCATAGCAAACATAGGGCTGCTCATTGGGGACGGTCCCATAGCGAAGGATCAGGATGTTGGATGCCTCTTGTCCGCCTTTGCCCTGAACACCTGGACCCTCCCACCACACCAGTGCTTTTGGAAACCCCCCATCCCACGAGCAGGACAGCATCAGGTTCTGGTTGTTGCTGGTCACATAAGCAGAGCACTGGGGCTCCCCTGCAGGAGAATCTTAAAATATAGATATATGTTGGTTAGTGAGCAGTTATGTTATGTTAATTAAACTATGCTAAGCAGTGATAACAACTAAAACCTTTCAAAAAGAGTTCTTGTTTTTAAGAGACATTGTGTCTTCAATGTGGCATTGCCATAGCAAATTTCTCACACTGCCTCAAGAAATGTGCATGTATTTCAGGTTTTAGCATCAGATGCCCATCCTGTCCTCCGTTTGTTCAATTTTGGGACTGGCACAGGCTTGTGGATTTTTCTAAGATCTTTTGAGCTGCTTCAACAAGTAAGTTTCTTTTCTTTTTCTTTCTTTTTTCTTTTTTTTCTTTTTTTTAACAAAACACGAATGGATTATGAGATAATGGGGTAATCCAAACTCTTTTTGTTTTTGTGAATGGCTGGCAGCATACTTACATGGTTGCACACTGCACTCTGCTGGCTGTTTTAAAGCCATGTGTGATCCTTGACATTTAAACAGGCTGTTGTTTGATGCAGTGCCTTGTGTGTACAGCAATGTGGCAGTGTTGGTGTTTGGGTTCACCCCTTCTTGGTCCACAAGTTCTCCGCTCCAAATGAGTTTAGGGGATGGGAATCCACCGGGCCAAATACAGAGCAGTTTGAGAGACGTGTGCTCAAGTGTGCCCTCTACAGAACAAGTGGGCAGACCATCAGGGGGGTCTGTGGACAGAATTTAGAAAAGCACTGAATCAGCTTGTACAGCACATATTGAAGAGCAAACAAAAAATAATGTATTTTCAGTACACAGAACCAGAGAATTAAAGTTAAGTAAGCGATTTAGAGTTATAGAAGAAATGAGTGTGTGGTGACTTTTTAAATGTGTTGATGAGCAACTGTGAACTTTTCACCTAAGCAGATAAAAAAGAAACAAGTGTTAGACCATCACTGCAGCATTCAAGGCCATCACTGTACTAGAAATCATAAAAAAACAAAAGAATTGAATTAACAGAAGAATTATATTTAAAGAAAGATATTTAATGATAGCAAAGATTAAGGAGTTGAGAGTAAACTTCAGAATACCTAAAGCTCAGAGATAAATGCAGAAGCAGAATTCAGTATAGCTAATTTCCCTTTTTTGTTTTACTTCAATCCATCCAGTGTTTCAGATCACTCTCTTCTATTTTCTGCTGCCATATGGTCCTTTAAAATTTCTAAGACACAGTCTATACTCACAGTAAATTTAAGCCAGTTTGATCCTTAAATTGAGACTTTCTGTTCATGCATTACTTATGTTTGTACTATATATACTTCTGATTACTAAATGTTATCCTATGCACTTTTAAATTGTGGTCATTCTGCTATTTAAATGTCTCACTCACAGTAAACAGTCAGGCTGACGGACTTCTTGGAGCGAGTGTTGAGGAAACTATTTTGGGCCAAGCAGGTGTAGTCTCCAGTCTGAGTCCGAAGGATGTCTTTAAGAGTGAACTGTGGTCCACTGTTCACCTGTGAGTAGGTGGGCAGAAAAATATGATATCAACTAATGCATATAAATACATGTTTTAACACATTTCTGCTGGATAGACATAATATTGATTTGGTCAACATTGCCTACCCCTACCTGTGAGTTGTTGTAGAACCAAATGTATTGACTGGGTGGATTGGACTTGGCCTGACACAACAAGGAAACTGTCTCCTGCTCCAGTGCTATATAGCCACGCTCTTCTACTGTGTTTGGAGTTAGACTGATCTCAGGAAACTCTGGACCATCTAGTAACACAATATTCAAGTTAATTTCTACTTCCAAATGAACAGTAACGATGAAATCCATCTACTTACAAGTGACATTTAATAGGGTCCAATCTGACTGAATGTTGTTAACTGGATTTTGGACCAGGCAGCGGTACAAACCCATGTCGCTACGTTTGACTGTCAGCTTGACCACACTGGTGTTTTGTGCGAATTTCGAGGTGTTCCCACTCACAGCGTGATAGTGCCACATGAACTGGATTGGCTCAGTCCCAGACTGTACACTGCAGTGCATCGAGACAGTGGAGCCCTCCAATGGATAAGCATTACTCATCACTAGGTTTGGTTTGCTGAGAGGAGCTGTCAAAAATCATACATAATGTTTTAGACTAAATGGTATTTCTTAAATGTAAATGGGTTAGAATGATCCAACATGGTCGTGGTGTACTAACCCATTGTGATTTTACAGGTTTTTGACTGAGACAGGAGTGGGTGTCTGGCATGACAGGTGTAGGGCATCTCAGTGCGCAGAGTGCCATATCTAATGGTCATGTTATTGGAGCCCTCCTGCCCGGATTTACTGTGCCCACCCGGGCCGTCCCACCACACCAGGGCCTTCGGGACTCCGCCCTCCCAGAGACAGGACAATGTCACATTTAGACCATTCACATTAAAGAAACACTGGAGCTTTTCAGTAGGAACATCTGTAGGAATACAATGAAATGGTCAATCAATGGTCTAACACTAACACACTGATTTAGATTATGAGTAAACTGTGGGTTTCCTCAGTCTGTCAAAGATACAACACCTCAAATCAAGGCTCAACTATTTAGTTTTCTTGGGCATTAACCCATTTAATGTGTTCTTGAACACTCACATGTGTGCACACTGCACTCAACTGGTTGAGTGACTGCAGGGTGGGTGCCTCTGCAGGTGAAGGAGCTGTTGTTCGATGTATTGTTGTCTGAAGCCTCAAAGATGGCCATGTTCTTCACCAGGTGTGTGCCAGTTTCCTCTTGTTGAGTTAGGTTTAAGTCACTGCTCCAGCTCAGTTTTGGGGGGGGTATCCTCCAGGCCCACAGACACACCAGCCTTACAGAGCTGTGGTTGGACACTGCTTCCATGGAGCAGATGGAGGAGTTCATAGGGGAGTCTTTAGAGAGATAATTATGTCAAGATTTAGAAATCTTCTCTGAGTATATGCAATAAAATTTAATTTTATCAAAGCACTCACAAATGACATCCACCCATATGGGGTCTGATTGCTGGCTGTTGACAAGGTTATTGGCTCCACAGCGATACCAGCCAGTTTGATTATGTTGGAGACTTGGATAGATGGAGGGCACTGCTGTAGCTTTGAGCAATCTTAAAAGCGTCTCCATTCTCTGCTTCATAGTACCACTCATAGTGGATTGGCTCTGTCCCATTTTGGACTTTGCATATCATAGAAATGGAGGATCCTTCCAGTGGGGATGCTTCACTGAGCAGCAGGGAGGGTCTACTGACTGCAACTGTGGGGCACATTTGTAGAGTTTTGTTAGTGTTTGTGCATGTGGTCCCAGGTTTGGGGTAAGATGGTATAAAGTACACTAACCCATTGTAATGTTACAGGTTTTTGACAGAGTCAAAAGTGGATGTCTGGCATGACAGGTGTAGGGCATTTCAGTGCGCAGAGTGCCATATCTAATGGTCATGTTATTGGAGCCCTCTTGCCCAAGTTTACTGTGTCCACCTGGGCCGTCCCACCACACCAGGGCCCTCGGGACCCCGCCCTCCCAGAGGCAGGACAGTGTCACATTGAGGCCATTCACACTAAAGAAACACTGGAGCTCTTCATGAGGAACATCTGTAGGAGGACAGTTTTAGATTTTTGTTTGTGGCCACTTTGTTTTTATAATTTACATACTAAAAATATATGCCTGATTCTCTAAACCCTGTTTGTAATAGACACGATGGCTATTTACAAGGACCTAACATTAGTTTTTGTGTGCTTGTTCACACTCACATATGTGCACACTGCACTCAGCTGGTTGAGTGACTGCAGGGTGGGTGCCTCTGCAGGTAAAAGAGCTGTTGTTCGATGTATTGTTGTCTGAAGCAACAAAGATGGCCATGTTCTTCACCAGGTGTGTCTCAGTTTCCTCTTGTTGAGTTAGGTTTAAGTCACTGCTCCAGCTCAGTTTTGGAGTGGGATATCCTCCGGCCCACAGACACACCATCCTTAGAGAGCTGTGGTTGGACACTGCCTCCATGAAGCAGTGGGAGGAGTTCATAGGGGAGTCTTTAGAGAGAAAATTATGTCAAGATTTTGAAATCTTCTCTGAGTATATGCAATAAAATTTAATTTTATCAAAGCACTCACAAATGACGTCCACCCATATGGGGTCTGATTGCTGGCTGTTGACAAGGTTATTGGCCCCACAGCGATACCAGCCAGTTTGATTATGTTGGAGACTGGATAGATGGAGGGCACTGCTGTAGCTTTGAGTAACCTTAAAAGTGTCCCCATTCTGTGCTTCATAGTACCACTCATAGTGGATTGGCCCTGTCCCATTTTGGACTTTGCATATCATAGAAATGGAGGATCCTTCCAGTGGGGATGCTTCACTGAGCAGCAGGGAGGGTCTACTGACTGCAACTGCGGGGCACATTTGGAGCCTTTTGTTAGTGTTTGTGCATGTGGTCCCAGGTTTGGGGTAAGATGGTATAAAGTACACTAACCCAATGTAATGTTACAGGTTTTTGACAGAGTCAAAAGTGGATGTCTGGCATGACAGGTGTAGGGCATTTCAGTGCGCAGAGTGCCATATCTAATGGTCATGTTATTGGAGCCCTCTTGCCCAGGTTTACTGTGCCCACCTGGGCCGTCCCACCACACCAGGGCCCTCGGGACCCCGCCCTCCCAGAGGCAGGACAGTGTCACATTGAGGCCATTCACACTAAAAAAACACTGAAGGTCTTCAGTAGGAACATCTGTAGATGAGTTAAATAATGTGAACCTTTTTTTTGCCAACTTATTTTTCTTACTTTAGAAATTAAAGCAAACTATTCTATTTGACAGACTGAGTGAACCCAGTTTATAATGGCTATTTATAAGGACATAGTTTTGTGCTTGTTCACACTCACATGTGTGCACACTGCACTCAGCTGGTTGAGTGACTGCAGGGTGGGTGCCTCTGCAGGTAAAGGAGCTGTTGTTCGATGTATTGTCGTCTGAAGCCTCAAAGATGGCTGTGTTCTTCACCAGGTGTGTGTCAGTTTCCTCTTGTTGAGTTAGGTTTAAGTCACTGCTCCAGCTCAGTTTTGGGGGGGGATATCCTCCGGCCCACAGACACACCAGCCTTAGAGAGCTGTGGTTGGACACTGCTTCCATGGAGCAGTGGGAGGAGTTCACAGGGGAGTCTGCAAAGAGATTTATAAATCATTAGTTTGGCTACACTTTCAGTGTTTCCCACAGACATACTCCAGGTGACTTAGGTACTTATATGAATAGTTTTATTTAATATAATTCTTTGAGTATACATTTCATTGAATGTCTCTAATCATCAAGCAGACCCTGTATGATCAGTATGTATGTATATTTTTACAATAATGCAAGACACTAACAGTATGATGTGTCTTACCAATTAATTGTTAAGCCTGTTTTAGGCTGAGGAGTTGGAAATTAGAGAATGAGGGGTCATCACTGTCTTCTGTAATAATGGGGAAACATTTACCCTTCATTGATTTGCTTTTAAATTAAATTTAAAAGAGACACTCACAAATGACGTCCACCCATATGGGGTCTGATTGCTGGCTGTTGACAAGGTTATTGGCCCCACAGCGATACCAGCCAGTTTGATTATGTTGGAGACTGGATAGATGGAGGGCACTGCTGTAGCTTTGAGTAACCTTAAAAGTGTCCCCATTCTGTGCTTCATAGTACCACTCATAGTGGATTGGCCCTGTCCCATTTTGGACTTTGCATATCATAGAAATGGAGGATCCTTCCAGTGGGGATGCTTCACTGAGCAGCAGGGAGGGTCTACTGACTGCAACTGCGGGGTACATTTGGAGCCTTTTGTTAGTGTTTGTGCATGTGGTCCCAGGTTTGGGGTAAGATGGTATAAAGTACACTAACCCAATGTAATGTTACAGGTTTTTGACAGTGTCAGAAGTGGATGTCTGGCATGACAGGTGTAGGGCATTTCAGTGCGCAGAGTGCCATATCTAATGGTCATGTTATTGGAGCCCTCTTGCCCAGGTTTACTGTGCCCACCTGGGCCGTCCCACCACACCAGGGCCCTCGGGACCCCGCCCTCCCAGAGGCAGGACAGTGTCACATTGAGGCCAGTTCACACTAAAGAAACACTGAAGGTCTTCATCAGAAACATCTGCAGGAGAGTAAATAACATTAATGTAGAATATCTTAAAAATATGTGAAATATGTTTAAGAACATATTGTTTTTTGTTTTGCCAAACTCACATGTGTGCACACTGCACTCAGCTGGTTGAGTGACTGCAGGGTGGGTGCCTCTGCAGGTGAAGGAGCTGTTGTTCAATGTATTGTTGTCTGAAGCTACATAGATAGCCTTGTTTTTTACCAGCTGTTTGTCAGTTTTCTCTTGTTGAGTTAGGTTAAAGTCACTGCTCCAGCTCAGTTTTGGAGTGGGATATCCTCCGGCCCACAGACACACCAGCCTCAGAGAGCTGTGGTTGGACACTGCCTCCATGGAGCAGGTTGGCTGGCCCTCTGGGGGATCTGTAGGCAATTATAATTGGCCTCAAACCAAGCAAAAAGAGATCTGAAAATAACAGAAAATGTGCTATTCATTCACTCACAGTAGACACTAAGGCTTATGTTGGTTGTGGAGCTGCTGTTAAGCAAAGCATTTTGGGCCAAACAGATGTAGTCACCGGTCTGAGCTCGGAGGACTCTGGAGATGGTCAGCTCTGGTCTGCTGCTGATCTGGGAGTTGTTGTAGATCCAGATGTATTCACTGGGTGGGTTGGACTGAGTTTGACACAATAGAGACACATTGTCTTTCTCGATGGCAGCGTACTTTTCAATCACTGTATATCCAGACTCTGTCCTTGTATTGGATGTTGCTACTATTTGAGGAAGATCAGGACCAACTGAGGAGAAAAAAATACACATACTTACAGTGCACATGTTAATGAGTGAACTGATTCATTATAAATCAGACCTTATAACCAAGCACACACTTTCCAGGTAATTTTGAGAAACAATAGCTTACCCTTTTTTACTGTTTACCTGGACTTCTAGTATTAAAAAAGTTGTAAAAGTGCTTCTATGCTATTTTATAAGCAGACGAAAATACTCATATAACCTCGAACAGGGCAACAATAGGGCAATGAGGGCAACAGAGAAACTTTTTAATGTGTATAATGGGCAAGCATAAGACCTACTGAAGTTTAGTAAGAGCTAAATTATGATTCAACAAACAAGCTACTTTGACACAGAAAAGCTAAAGTTACATATGAATACACTGAATTAAAGTGTCACATACAAATGTAACAGACAGGTGGCCATTAAGTTTTGCCTGGTTCATGTATATTGCAAACTTTCCAATTAGAAATGCATACATGTCACCTTTTCATCATGTCCTTACCTCTTTACCCATATCAACACATTTGGATTGATCCATTTTATACTTTCAAGACAAGCTGCAGAAAATTGTTCACAGATGACAAGCTCTGGTTTGTCCTTCAGATATGTTGCAATTTAGTACCTTCCAGAAGAGTCCCTTTGAGCTCCCCGTCCATCTGAAGAGCTTGTTGCTCCCTCACTCCGCAGTGTGTATGTGGTTGTATGTTGTGCAAATGTATGAGTGTGCTTTGTAGATTGTTAGATAGATGCACAGAGGAAATTAGGTGAAAGAGTGTAAAGGGTTAAAAGTAAAATAAAGTCAAGATTTAGAAGGTCCCACTCACAGTAGACAGTCAGGCTGATGGACTTCTTGGAGCGGGTGTTCAGGTAGGTGTTCTGGGCGAGGCAGGTGTAGTCTCCTGTGTGCATGCGGAGGATCTTGGTGATAGTGTACTGGGGTCCACCAAAGACCTGGGAGTTGTTATAGAGCCACACGTATTGACTGGGAGGATTAGACTGAGCCTGGCACATCAAAGAAACAGTCTCTCTCTCTAAGGCTGAGTATCCTCGCTCTGTCATTGTGTACGGAGTTACGTCAATTTGGGGAACATCAGGACCAACTGTGGAAAGAATAAATACCTAATAGTCACAGTAGTACAATGTCCCAAATATTCTATAGTATTGCTTTGTCAAAAATAGAATACTATAATGGTGATTACTTCCTAATTGATTCATCATTAATTCAAGATTTTTAAATAAACTAAATAAAAGAACTATTTAAGATACATAGCTTTTGAGTTTGGGCTGGACAATGCTTACTAGTTTACCAGAATTCTGAAATTAGTTTCATATTAAGTAAAATTTTTGTAAAAGCCTTAAAAAGACATAATATGTCACATATCACATGCCTGGATCATAGTTTTACATTTTGTTAATAGTAGCACAATATTGACCTGTGAACAGGTCCATTCATTTCCTATACAAAACTACAGATCTCTGCAGAATTCTTCACATGCAGATTACAGCTGGTTGAATCTCACTGAAATGATGAGGGAAAACCATTACAACATGGTTAAAAGTGTATTCAGCATACCATGTCTCCTTTAAAGAACAACGCATGCCTGGGGCCATCAAAGGCTATCATAGTGAAGAAAAGCCTGGGCACACATTTTTGGGCCCAAAGCTATAGCAAAGTAGTAGTTTAGTGCCTGGGAATAATGGCATTTGATCATCTACATATATTGTTTTTGACAAAATTTTTATTCTACCTGCAGTGATATGGACCTACTTACATATAATGCTCAACCAGGTGCGGTCCGACTGTTCGCTGTTGACTGGATTTTGGGCCTGGCAGCGGTACCACCCGGTGTTGTTGCGGTTAATGTTGTTCACATCAACGACACTGGAATTTCCCTGTCCAAATATCGTCACACTGCCGTTCATGTTTTCATGGTGCCACTCATACTGTATCGGGCCTGTCCCATTCTCCAGATTACAGCGCATCCGAACAGTGTTTCCTTCCACCGGAGAGGACTCGCTTACCTCCAGATAAGGTTTGCTGATGGGAACTGGAATAAAAAAAAAATAGCAATTTTGTTTTTTGTATGGTAATTCAATCTCCCTCCACTAATTACCCTTGTACTGTTAATATTAGGCTATAACGTTATAGTAGGGCTACATGATAATACAATAATAAAGTTACTAATCGTTGGCCTTTTGCATCATATTCTGATGCTTAAAAGTGCTACTTTGAGGGTGCTTGTCACCTGCTTGTCTCTGTGAAAATGTTAATGCTTTCCCCATGTTTGACAGTATGTCATTAAACTTCTATATCTTGCATTTATTCAATTACAGATGTTTTTATTGATATATAAATAACTTGAACATGCGTTCTTAGTGTCACTTGTAACATGGCCTAAATATATCTATACCCCATTTACAGAGCTAGCTCTATAGCCAAACTATGGAACATTTCTATGGAGACATGCAGATAGTGAATCATCTTATTTATTCCTTTAGTGATCAAAGACACAGTCTCTTTTGACCACCACCACCACCAGTCACACAAGTTTAATTACACCTGCTGGCATTCACACAGAGACCGTAATACGTTGCTGTAGTAACACCAGTGTAATGCATGTCCCGTTCCTTACCACGGACAGTCAAGTACACGTAGTAGTAGTAGAACCGTGCCTCTGTGGCTGTATCATAGATGGCCTGGCACGTGAACACTCCGTGAGCAGCCAGTGCCAACTGCTCAATACTGAGAGACGCAGTGTTTGAAATGACTGTGACTTGCCCCAAAGTCCGTGCAAGGGCTTGCATCCGGTGTCCTTTGCCCAAATCATACACCACATTTTTGATTTCTTGAGAGCCAGGTTTGGTGAAACTCCATATGTAGATATCAGGTAGCAGTGTAGCTGGACCACAGTCGAGGATCACAGCTCTGTCCACGACACCATACACACTGGACTTTTGGTACACCACCTCCCCACTCGGATTCGGCACGAGCTTCTCCAGTGATGACGGAAAAGGCACGGGCGGTGTCATGTACCCTACAAGTGTACAGTTACAAGATGCATTACTTTCAGGGAAAACATCACACTTTAATTGCACACCAATGAATAGGTCATCTTATTTTATTTTATTTTTTAATTTTTGAACCTTTTGCATATATAGAATTAAAGGTGCACTGTGTTCTGGTGGAGGATTTGTCACCTATTAATTTGTATTGCTGGAATGTTTGACAGAACCATATTTAAAGCTCTACCACCTTTCATTTATTCAATGACAGGTGCTTTTATTGCCAGAACAGTTCTTGGTTTGTTTTGTACCCTGCTTGTCTCCATGGAGATTGTTAAGTTGTATGCCATTTTGTGGAACATTCCAGGCTAAACAAAAACCTCTATCAACAAATTTCCATAGTGCCCCTTTAATTCTAGTACTCCTAAAATGCATTTAAATGTATTCTGCAAGCTACTGCACAGCTATAAGAGACATGAAACTGGAGCAACAGCTCTATGAACTTGCAAAATTGAAAGGCCAATGAAATCTATTTTAAAATACAATATATTTTTCATTACTTACTTTAACTACAAAAATTTATGTTGACCTCATCACGCCTGTCTAAAGTTAGGCATAGGTAAAATATACGTACTCTTACCATAAGCGGAGACTAGAAGCAGGCTCCTGCACAGAAAAGACAGCAGCCCTAGCAGTGGGTCCACCATGGTATCATGATGATCCACAGTGTCACTGCCTCTTCACTACAAAACTTTTCAAAAATGTTTTCAAAAATGTCCCCAAAACATAAACAGATGCACTCTAGGTACTTCAGCTGCTGTCACAGACACCAGTTGCATGCACTGACTTCATTGCACTGACAGGAGGAGGGCTGAAGGCGCTCTAAACTGATTTGGCTTCAATTATTGATATGTTTTTTTCCTTTCTCTCTTTCTGCCTCGGTTAGAATAGCACAGCGATACCTCCCTCATTTATAATAGATGGGTCCCACATACCTGCACAGGTTACTCTGCCTCACACACTATAATTCTTAGTCAAAACTGGAAAGTAACTAAATACATTTACTCAAGCAATATTGTTTTCTTGATAACATTTGTATTTTTGTAATGTGGTATTTGTTGTAATAATAAAAGCTTTTGGTAGACTATAGCTGTAAAGGTCACTGATAAAGACGTATCCAACTGAAGCTGTAATAGAAGCAATACTTGAAATTTTAATAGCAAGTTTTTTTTTTTTAATTATTATTATGTTTTCTTTATTAGGCTAACTTTGAAGGTGATATAGATCAGTCCATGATGGTGACAAATGATGAAACAAGTTTATTAAATAGTTGCAAGGGTGTGTCTTTTCATACGTAACTTACAAAATGGCCTGTGTTTCATAGGTTAGCCATATAGACAGGATGTTTAATTTTGCTCAAAACCTCTCACTTTGAAGATATTGTTGGGCTTTCCCTTTTAATTTTTCTGATGCTGGTGCTGAGGAAGAAAGTGAGAAAGAAGAGACACATTTCAGTGTATAAACTGTGTGATGTCTTACTTGGTGCTTTTGCTTTTTTTTTTTTTTTTTTTTTTTTTTTTCTTGTGTGTGTTTAAATTATACATGTCTATTTTATTTTGGACATTCAGGAATTATTTATTACTTTTATTTTGAACGGACACTATTTTGGTCAATTCTGAAGTTTATAATTGAGAATCAGCATGAATTGGAAATTCAGTAGTGTTTCCAATCCTACTTTCGTGTTTGGCCTTGTTATTCATCTAAGTATTAATTACCCACAATGCAGTGTGTGAATGATTGCTGTTATTATAAAGGGTAGGGCAGTGATGTTTTGATCATAGAGAGAGAGAGGTGAGCCAGGGCCGATAAGAGAAGAGTAACCAGACACCAACTCATTGCTCATGAATGAAGCTGCCCAGTGCATCAGTTTTCCTCAGACCAGCCAATAGTAAGAGACACTAGAGCACCTGACATTATATACAGGCTATATGTGTTTTAGGAGATATAATATATTTAATGATGCTTTAAATTATAATGAAAACGTTATGGAATTTTTTTAAATGGGTGGGTCATAATTAGTAAAAATACTGGTTTGAATCTAGTATAGTCTAGATGATCAAAGTCTATTGAACTTAAACACTTACTTATTTAGTAATTGCCATGCTTTTTGAAAAATTCTTCTGTGTCTTACTTAAAATTTTATAACATTGTAAAATTGCTAGATATAATTACATTAAAAATAAGACATCATTTTGATACATTATTTATTATGTGAATATATTATGTGAATATTTGAATAATGAGCATTTATTTCATATGATTTCTGTTGATGTCTGATATTATTAAATACTAGAGCAATAGTAATCAACCAGATGCCTTAATGAGTTCAGTGAGTCATGAATGAATTAAAGTGCTTCTCCTGGAAAGCAAACATGTCCAGTTTCATTGTCCTGATTGAGTGGCTGCTTCGGTAACCAAATGAGCCCTGGATCTATAGGCCAGTTATTCTTCTTCCAACTTCCTCCACGGTAATATTTGACTTTTTGACCAAGACCAGATCTATTAGATTTGGGATAAACATTGTTTAAAATAAGACAAAACCAACCTAAAATTAAGCAAACTATTTAATTAAAAAAATTAAATCAAACCAAAACCAAACGAGGAAAATAAAACCAAATGAGGAAATAAAACCGTAAACTGCAGAGGGCCCCATACATGACTGCCCAGGTATCCACAGTTTGAGAAGCACCATATATATATATATATATATATATATATATATATATATATATATATATATATATATATATATATATATGGAGAGAGAGAGAGAAACTCTATGTTTTTTTTTTGTGTTTCTTAAATAGTACGTCTATTATGTTGAATAATATAATACAGTAGTGTTGTAGGATTTGAGGACAGTGGCAAAACATAAAGACAGAGCTGGGTTATTTGAGACATGTAAAGGGAGGGAGAGTGAATATGGGAACACGGGTACTGACACTAATTCTTAAAGGGGGACTAGAGGAAGAACCATCATTCTGCATAGATCTAAGGTTTAATTACTTTAAAACATGTCTCATACTGTGTGTGTGTCTGTGTGTGTGTGTGTGTGTGTGTGTGTCTGTGTGTGTGTGTGTCTGTGTGTGTGTGTGTGTGTGTGTCTGTGTGTGTGTGTGTGTATGCAGGGATGCAGGGGGCTATTTAAGGTTTAAATTGTTGACTATAAGATTTATCTTAAAGCTTTGTGCTAGTTTGTTGACTTCTGTTGCTAAGTACTGCTCAAAACCTTATATTGGCATTTGTCAGTAATTGGCTCTGAGAGTGTGATATTTTACAAGTCTGCCAGACAAAAAAATCTTCAAATAAGTTAGGTTTTTTCATTTTCATTTGAATGTGGTCAAACAATATATTGCTACACAATACATTTTTTTTTTTTTTTAAGTTGGCTTTTAGACTAATAAAAATAATAATATTTCAAACTCAGTATTAGATTCAAAGCTAACTGTACCGATTCAAGCAAAATATATACTTGTTTATGTAAATATCTAATTTTGATTCTGGTTTAATATTTTTGTATCTGGATATTGGATACAAAACTATTCTTAACCAAATGCTGAATTCAACAGTCCACAAAAGACATTTTTTTTTTTTTTAAATCCTCAGGATTTCATATACTTCTCTGATATAAAGTTGCTGAAAATGTAGTCAATTAAAGTTTTAGCACGCCTTGTTTGTACTGACCCCAAAATGAGCTGAGCTTGACATCGGATCAACAGTGTATAGTTACGTGGCAACAGAGGAAATGCTATCTTCTCATTAGGGTCAGGTTCAAGTAAAACTGAGTGGCCTTTAAGTGCCCATTCTCCTGGTGTCTTTTATGAATTCTTAAACACAGAATTAATTTGATGTATGTTATATGTTTCCTATTGTAGTTTGTCAATTCAAGTTTGTTTATGGCTTTATTTCAAATCATATAATGTAAGGTTTTGATTTCAAATAGTAAACAGTCTGTTAAATGCAACAGTGATATCTATCCAAAATAGTTATTTAATTATTAGCCCATAATTAAGGGACGTTTGATTTTAAATTATTGCACCATAGTCTAGTTGTTTCACTACAGTGTACTTTTATAAGTGGTATGCTCTCTGTGTGTAGTGGGCTGCAGTGGTGTGTTTGTACAATCAAAATTGCTTCACACATGTTTGTGATTTTTATTACTAAAAACCAGTGTTCATGAACAGCCAGCGTCAATGAATACTAAAACCCCACAGGTAACATAAATAAAATCAAAATTAGAAACAAGAAAATTATTTGTGAATAAAAACATTATCTTCCAAAAGAGAAATGTAAATAATATAAAATACATGTACACAATATATATATTTTTTACAGTTATGTACTTTTGTTTCGAAAATTGGGCGAGGTCATGCTGTAAAGAGCTGGGGATGTAGACGTAGGGGTGGACATTAGACAATATAAAAATGTGTGATTGGATGCTATGAAAATCTGACAGTCTTTAATACAACTTAATACTACAATGTTCAAACACAGACTGAGACACTATTGTTGTCTCACCCTCCAGATATTACCTCTTAAAAGTAACATGAAGAAAGTACATGGTCCGTGACAAAACAAGATTGTGATCTATGGCTCAATACAGATGTTCCACAATGCCCATCCCATCAAGATGCAATTATTTTTTATATATTTCATATTATGTGTCACATGAAAGGTGTCTAGATTAAAAATCTTATAGACACTGATTGGTCTGTCCACATAAAGACCATTTAAAGGACAATATTAAGGGTCGATCTCACCACACAGGACCAGCGTGAAAAACAAACATGTAATTTATTATCTGTAAAGTTTGACATACAAAAAGACGTGTTTGGTATTTAATTTACGTAGACTTTGAGTGAAAAGCAGTCACTGTTGGAAAGAAACTGAAGAGACAACATATTTGTGTGAAGCCAAACAATATTTACGCTTACAAAAACAAAATCAAAATCAATCAAAATGTAAAT